AACATTTAAAGAAGAGTAAATACCTATCCTTCATCAAAATATTCCAGACTTGGGGCTTCCCTGGTGGCGCAGTGGTTGAGAGTCCGCCTGCCGATGCAGGGGACACGGGTTCGTGCCCCAGTCCAAGAAGATCCCACAGGCCGCAGAGCGGCTGGGCCCGTGAGCCATGGCCACTGAGCCTGCGCGTCCGGAGCAGCGGGAGAGGCTGCAGCAGTGAGAGGCCCGCGTACCGCCAAAAAAAAAAAAAAAAAAAAAAAAAAATTCCAGATTCATTCCATGAGGCCAGCATTACCTTGATACCAAAACCAGACAAAGATGCTGCAAAAAAAGAAAATTACAGGCCAATATCCTGGATGAACATAGATGCAAAAATCTTCAGTGAAACATTAACAAACCAAATTCAACAATACATTAAAAGAATCATACACCAGACCAAGTGGGATTTATTTTGGGGATGCAAAGATGGTTCAACATCTGCAAATGAAATTAATATGATACACCATGTTAACAAAGGATAAAAATCATGATCATCTCCATAGATGCAGTAAAAGCATTTGACAAAGTTTAACACCCATTTATAAAAAAAAAAGAAAAAAATAACTCCCAGCAAAGTGGGTATAGAGGGAACGTACCTCAGCAAGATAAAAAGACCATATGTAGGGCTTCCCTGGTGGCGCAGTGGTTGAGAGTCCGCCTGCCAATGCAGGGGACACGGGTTCATGCCCCGGTCCGGGAAGATCCTACATGCCATGGAGCGATTAGGCCCATGAGCCATGGCCGCTGAGCCTGCGCGTCTGGAGCCTGTGCTCCGCAACGGGAGAGGCCACAGCAGTGAGAGGCCCACATACCGCCAAAAAAAAAAAAAAAGACCATATGTAATAAACCCACAGCTAATATCATACTCAGTGTTGAAAAGTTGAAAGCTTTTGCTTAAGATCAGGAACAAGACAAGGATGCCCACTCTTGCTTTTATTGAACCAAGTATTAGAAGTCCTAGCCCCAGCAATTAGACAGTAAAAAGAAATAACACACATCTAAATTGGAAAGGAAGCAGTAAAACTCACTATTTGCTGATGGCATGTACTATATATAGGAAATGCTAAAGACTCCACCAAAAAACTTCAAATAAATGAATTCAGTGAAGTTGCAGGATACAAAATTAATGTATAGAAATCTGTTGCATTTCAATACACTAATAATGAACTATCAGAAATACAAATTAAGAAACTCCCATTTAAAATTGCATCTAAAAGAATAAAATAATTAGGAATACGTTTAACCAAGGAAGTGAAAGACCTGAACTCTGAAAACTATAAGACATTGATGAAAGACGTAAATGTGACACAATTAAATGGAAAGGTATACTGTGCTTATGGATTGGAAGAATTCATATTGTTAAAATGTCTATGCTACTACCCAAAGCAATATACAAATTCAATGTAATCCCTATTAAAATACCAATAGCATTTTTCACAGAATTAGAATCCTAAAATTTGTGTGGAACCACAAAAGACCCCAAATAGCCAAAGTAATCTTTAAAAGAACAAAACTAGAGGTGTCAGTTTTTCTGACTTCAAACTGTATCACAGAGTTATAGTATTCAAAACAGTTGTTACTGGAACAAAAACAAATACATAGATCAATGGAACAGAATAGAGAGGCCAGAAAAAAATCCACACACTTATGGTCAATTAATCTACAACAGAGAAGACAAGAATATACAAAGTGGAAAAGGATCTCTTCAATAAGCAGTGTTGGAAAAACTGGACAGTTACATGCAAAAGAATGAATCTGGACCACTACCTTACACCACATATGACAATAAAGTTAAAACGGATTAAAAATTTGAAGGTAAGACCTGAAACCATAAAACTTCTAGAAGAAAGCACAGGCAGTCAGCTCTTTGATCTTAGTGATACCTTTATGGATCCGTCTCCTCAGGCAAGGACAACAAAAGCAAAAATAAACAAGTGGGACTACATCAAACTAAAATGCTTCTGCACAGTGAAGGAATCCTGCAATAAAATGGAAAGCTAATCTATTGAATGGGAGAAGATACTTGTAAATTATGTATCCAATAGAGGTTAATATCCAGAATATAAAAATAACTCGTACAACTTAGAAAGGAAACATCAAAAAAAGAAACAATCCAATTGAAAAATGGGCAGAGGACCTAGAACAGACATTTTTCTAAAGGAGACATACAGACAGCCAACGGGCACATGAAAAAGTGATCATTACTAATCATCAGGGAAATGCAATTCAAAACCAGAACATCACCTCATACCTGTCAGAATGACTATTATCAAAAAATAATGTTGGTGAAGGTGTGGAAAAAAAGAAACCCTCTTTCACTGTTGGTGGGAATGTAAATTGGTGCAGCCACTATGGAAAGCAGTATGGAGGTTCCTCAAAAACTTAAAAATGGAACTACCACATGATTGGACAATTCCACTTCTGGGTATTTATCCAAAAAAAAAAAATCGACAACACTAATTCAAAAAGATATATGCACTCCTATGTTCACTGTAGCATTATTTACAATAGCCAAGATATGGAAGCAACCTAAGTCCATCAATAAAGAAAATGTGAGGTATATATGTGTGTGTGTGTGTGTGTATATATATATGCACATGTATGTATATATGAATATTATCCATAACAAGAATGAAATCTTTCATTTGTGACAACATGGATGGACTTAGAAGGTATTATGCTAAGTGAATTAAGTCAAAGAAAAATACTGCATGATTTCACTTACATGTAGAATCTAAAAAACAAATGAACATAACAAAACAGAAGCAGACTCATAGATACAGAGAACAAACTGGTGGTTGGCAGGGGATAGGAGGATGGGTGAAATAGGTGAATGGGGATTAAGAGGCATAAACTCCCAGTTATAAAATAAATAAGTCATGCGGATGTAATATACAGAATAGGGAATATAGTCAATGTTGTAATAACTTTAAATGGTGACAGATGGTAACTATACGGTGATCATCTCATAATGTATATAAAATGTCAAATCAGTATGCTGTACACCTGAAACTAATATAATATTGTATGTCAATTATACTTCAATTTTTAAAAAAGAGGAGCTCTGTAAAGAGAATCCAGTTCAGACAGGGGACTGGGAGGGCAGGGCTGGAGGAGGGGGAAAAGACCAGCAAAAACAGGAAGCAGAAATTAGAGTGTTGTGTTCCAAGGGCCAGAGGGGACCCAGTCTACCTGGCATGGAGACCGCAGGCCATGTTACTAATGCGAATAAGCTCAGGTATGATAGGGCTATATCTTGAGAATTCAAGACCCAGGAAAATAAGAATGAAGTTGTTGAAAGTTATAGTGGAGCATTTCCTAGGTGATAAAGCTGGCCTGGTAATTATCACATCTAACATTTATTTAGTGATGTATGAGTCACAAAGCAACTTCACATATATTATCTAATTCATTCCTCACAACACTTTAGATGTAACCTTTATTTTACAGATAAGAATACTGAGCCAGAAGGACTTCCTTGGCGGTCCAGTGGTTAAGACTCCACGCTTCCACTGCAGGGGGCATGGGTTCAATCCCTGGTTGGGAAAATAAGATCCTGCATGCCTCACAGCCAGAAAAGAAAAAAAAAAGAATATTGCGCCAAAGATATTAACTAGCTTTGACCGTGGGTACACAGTGTGTCTTCTGCTCTAGCTACAGCTTTTTACAATGAGAGCAGTATTTCAGGATGCGTATTGCAGGACCCTATATACTGCCCTGTATAAGGAGAAAGCAAAGGTAAGGAGACCGTTGTAGCAGTCTAGGCATGAGCAAATGAGGTCCTGGACCGGGTAGTGGCAATGGGAACAGACAGGAAGGGAGCGAGTGAAGAGAGATTCCAGTGGTCTCATCAGCAGGAATTGGTGACTAACTGGATCTAGGGGCCGCGGGCAAAGAGAGCATCAAAGATGATACCAGATCTGAAAGTCTGAGTAAGAGAATGCTGGTGTCATTTGCAGAAGCAGATGAAAAGTTCATTGGATAAATTTGGATCGACAACTGTTTGAATTGCTGGGGCAGAGAATGCCCACGTTGCAGCTCCTGCGTCTACCCCGTGTATGGGGCTCATAAATACGTGTCAAGTGAATGAAAGAAGATATTATAATTGAAAGTAGGGGAACGGATGTGTAGAACCAAGAATAGAGTATGTGTGGAGATAAGGACAGAAAGCCAGGGATGAGGCTGGGGGGAGTGCCCCCTCCCGGGGGTCAGGGGAGTAAAAAGAAGGAAGAGGAGAGGTAATAGGAGAACTAGAGACCAAAGCCTGAGAAAGAATCTTAAAAGTTTATATTTCTTACACCCATGAAGGAAGCCTTCCTGTTGCTCCAGGAAAGGTCTGTAGTCTTAACCATTTCTTCAGCCTTTAAGAAAACTGACTATTTGGTCCCAAAGAGATTCCTCCCCAATCCATACACCCCTGCATTGTTTCTCACAGTGCAGTCCCACAGGATATCTGAGTTAGAATCACTTGAGACATGGCTAAGTCTAGAGATTCCTGGGCCCCTTTCCAGATTTCCTGAATCACACTTTGGGGGTATAACTTAGGAATCTGCATCTTTACCAGCCTCTAGGTGATTTTCATGCCCACTAAAATTTCAGAATCAGTGCCATATAATAAAAATGACCCAGAAGAAGAGAACATGGCTAAAAGTGACCAGATGCACGCATCTAAAACTCTGACAGATTCCTGGGAACATGCTTGGCATTTGTGGAAAAGGGAAAGGCAAAGCACCACTCTGAACTGAAAATATATTCTGGAAAACTATTTCCCCTGAAAACTATTTTGAACAATAAATTTAACTCTTGACTTAAATCCAAACCCAGGGACACCAAGTTGGATGGTAACCAGAAAGCAACACGGCCCTTCCCTGTGGTGAGTGATGGTTTGGGGAGGGCAACATGCTGATTTGACATTGAGATTTAAAACAAACACTAGAATTTTCAGTTTCCATGCTTTCTCTTACCCCACAGTTTTTGGAAGCAGAACAGAAAAAGACAGGCTTTCGTTGCATTATTATTTGTACTTTTAGGTCATTTCCATTGCCTTTTCCAACACCTGAATGAAATTAAAAAGTTAGGCTGGTTAGAGCAAAGATCAAAATGTCTCACCAATTAACAATACAGATTAAAAAGAGAAAAAATTATCCCAGCTAACAATGTGTCAATATTGAATCATTTGGCTCTTGTATGGATTTTGTCTTTGAAAGACAAGGCTTCAAAAGTTCAGTTCTGTCCCCTAAAGCAGAATTTATAAGGCTGGAGGAAAAAAAAAAAAGACATTGTTCAGCTTCTAAGATTTGGAATCCCATCGCTTCACCTTCATAGAAAAAAAAAAAATTAGGGAAGGGGACATGCAACCTTTCTTGTTGATGTGTTGCTTTCTTCAGACTTCTAATTGTGATGTTTCTTAATAATAAATAGTCTAAATTCCTCTTGCCCTAGTTTAAATCCAGTTTATGGAAAATATAGGAGAGCTGTATCCAAACGTTCCTGCTATGTTCAGCATATATTTACAAATGGTTTCTTCTCCCTTTTTTTTTTTTTTTCAATTTAATTGACCCACTTACTTCAGCATTTCATGAAAGGGCTGGCTTCTCAAGCCTCCAATTAATTTTTCCGGCTTTCCTTTCCACCCTGCATATTTCACTTAAATATGCACAGAACTAAAGGCACAGAGCTAAAACAAATATTCTAATAAAGTCATACATCCATCATTCTTAATTGTGATATTAAGTTTGTTTTGTGTTCATTTAATTTTGTTCTCACTAACACAATTAATTTGTCATGAGGAATCATGGTTTCTTTGCCTCAGTTCCCTCTGTCCCATCCACCTGCAGAACTTCTTTCTACGGATGTCAACAGAAGTCAGTGAAATGTAGAGCTAAACCAAGTCGAACACTTACCACATGACAGGAAAGGGCATAAAGTAATTCCCACACAATGTAAACATTTTTTAAATAATTTAAGTATATTTGCATGATTTAAAAATAAAAGGTATAAAAGGCATGAAGGGAAAAGTCTCCATTTTCCCTATCTCCCGCCTGTTTAGTTCTCCAGCCCCAGCTAAGCCCTATTACTAGTTTCTAGATTTTTATGCCTGTATAATCAAATATGAATATATATTCTCCCAGAGGTTTTATGTGTGTATATACACACAAACAAATGTATTCTCCTTCTGTTCTACAGAAATTGTTGCATGCCCTAGCACTGTCCTGTACATGCATTTTTTTAACACGTCAAAAATTTTAACTTATTACTAAGGAACCAGTAAAATGCTACAGCTGTTTCAAAGTACTGCACATTTACGGGCAGATAAGGAATGATGAAATGAATTTACAAATAAATACGAAACAGGTCAATAATCAGTTGCATTCTGCTAGATACAACTAATCTGCATTTTTACGTACAAAAGTTATTTGCATTATTATCAGTTTTCTACAACTTAGAGTTGTAAAATAGCTTAAAGACCATGAAAGGTAAAGGTAACCCTGGAGGTGGGCCTAGAGAAGACACTGCCCATTTCAGAATCTATCACACTTTTTCCTGACAGTCTGTTGTGATCATAATCTCAAAGGAAGATGATTCTTTAGGGTTTTTTGTTGTTGTTGCTGTTCTTTCATTTGAAACATACTCCTTTGTCTTCTCATTTTGTTTACCTTTCTCTGTCTCTATGAAATGAAGTGAATCAGTTACCCAGCCCAGTCTTGAAGGCGTGCCCTTGTGCAGGACTGTGCAGCCTGCGTATGCTCAGTGGTTTTGGTGGGAGAAGTGAGCACGGGTCCCATGGGCCCCTGGGGTGCGGTGGCAGCCACCACCTTGGTGGGAAGCGGGGCTGGAGATGGAGGGGCTAGAGCCAGAGCCGGGTGCGACCCTGTGTGTGTGAGAGACGGCAGTCTCCACCTGGGTTTGGGGTGCAGCGGGGGCTCGAGGGTTTGGGGCTGCACTTCTGTGCTGGTTGTACATTTTCCCCACTGTGCACCCTTGGTTAGAGGCTGGGTCAGGCCGGAGGGGTTGGTGCCTCACTGCTGAGCTGGTTTCTGTCCTGCTGGCAGTGTCAGTCCCTGCCCTGGAGTAGTTTCAGTCCTCCTAAATGTGGGCAGCGACCAAGCACTGGCCAAGGCTGCTTTCTCCCTGGTCAGAGTTTTCAGGCTGCTGAGTCTGCCAGGATGGGGGTATAAGCAAGCACGCACTCTCTGAGTGAGGTCTCAGTGTCTTACAGCCTCCCATGAGCCCCACTGGCGTTCGAAGCAGCTAAGGGCACTCATCCTCCTGGTGTCAGGCCCCAGGGCTGCAGTGCCAAACGTGTGGCTCAAACCCCTTGCTCCCCAGGGAGGCTCCCCAAGCCCATGACAGCCCCCTCCACGTCTGGGTCCCCCACCAAGGGTGCAGGTCTCGACCAGATCACCTCTCCTCCCTTCCTACCAGACTCCGTGTGGATTTTTCTTAGAAGGGCCTTTCTGCCAGCCTCCAGGTAGCTCCACAGGTAGTTGTATTTTTGATGTGTTCATGGGGGGAGGTAAGCTCAGCATCCTCCTACTTCACCACCTTGATCTCCCTCAAAGGGGATAATTCTTATTCCAAAAGAAGGCTGCTGTCATTGGGTTTGGCCTGCTTATTTACGTGGGTGCAGCAAGAATTTTGGCATATCAGGCAGGCCTTCTTAAGTGGGCTCTGCCAGCCGAGGCCCACACCGTAAGAACAGCTGCAAAGGGCACAACTTTCTGTCTGGAAGCCTTTATGAGGGATCTCAAATTAGACTTTTAAAATCCTCTATTTTATGTTAGCCTGAGATGAGGAAACCAAACCCATTAAACTCTCCACCAGTTTTCACCTGCAGAACTTATAAATTTGTGTTAGTTCCTCTGTTCTCTAGATCTGCACTTTACAGTTTTAACTAAACAATATCTCCACAGAGGTTAAGTAAAATTCAAACTATGAAGAGAGAAGTCACAGTCTTAGGATATGATATCAGACTGGGACAGTATATGAAATGCTAGAACTTATTAAAACCATTTTTAAGCTTAGAAGTTTGAGAAACTATTCCTATTCTCACTGTTCACGTTAGAGAAAACGCATCAAAACTCCATCAGACTAAATGCCTTTTTGCCTGTTTGGAATAGTTTAATACTCACAGAGGTTTGTATAGATACTGTTACAGGGTTACCTCGGAGATACTGTGGGTTCGGTTCCAGACCACTGCAATACAGCGAATATCGCAACAAAGCGAGTCACACGAACGTTTCTGCTTTCCCAGTGCACACAGAAAGTTATGTTTACACTATACTGCAGTCTATTTAGTGTGCAATAGCATTATGTCTAGAAAAACAATGTACATACCTTCATTAAAACATACTTCATCGCGACTTCCCTGGTGGCGCAGTGGTTAAGAATCCGCCTGCCAATGCAGGGGACACGGGTTCGACCCTGGCCCAGGAAGATCCCACATGCCGCAGAGCAACTAAGCCCACGAGCCACAACTACCGAGCCCGCGCACCTAGAGCCCGTGCTCCGCAACAAGAGAAGCCACCGCAATGAGTAGCCCATGCACCGCAACGAAGAGTAGCAACTAGAGAAAGCCAACGAGTAGCAACGAAGACCCAACGCAGCCAATAAATAAATACATAAAATTCTAACACAAACCATTCAATAAAAAAACTTGATTGCCACATTGCTAAAAAGAAAACTGCTCACCATCATCTGACAACTCAGAAATGTCACAAACCTTTCGTTTTCTGAACAAGTGCAACGTCTGTGAAGCACAATAAAGCAAAGAGCGATAAAACGAGGGACGCCTGGACTCCCACCGTTCGCCAGGAGGACCCCGAGGGAGAGGACACACTCGGGTACAAAACAGGCTCTCACGCCGCCAACTGGGCTTTAGAGCTGAGTTTCAGTTTCCTAGAGGAAGACACTGCTCCAACAGCCACCTGGGTTGCCTCTCACACTGCACTTTCTGCAGGAAACAATGGGGAGCAAGGCACTGCTATCCCCTCCCCCCCACCAGCTGCCGGACAAGCCTGGCTCTACCCTGGGGACGTCTGAAGGCAGATGGTGTTCGGAGCGAGGCTCCACTCCAGCCCTGTCCCTCATACGTGACACACACTCATCACAGTCAGAATGCACCTCATAGAGCACTCTGCAGCCCACGAAGCCTTCGCACGGTTGCTCCTTTATACAGACAGGCAGCCTCCTGCTGGAACAGGCTGTGTTTCCAGGGTCTGCCCGCACAACGCTTGTTTGGAAATCTAGACCAAAATTTCCCACAGAAACCATGCTGCTGGGCCGAAGTTTGTTTCCGGAAGCCAGAAACCCATGCAATCTGCTCGTGGTAACTCTCAATTCCTCACCCCTGCCAAGCAGTGGCGGCGATGCGGGCATGTGGAGAGGGGAGAAATACGTAAATAATTTGAAAAAAGCATTTTATATTTTAACTAACAATTGAAATTTTTTTTTGACTATGCAGTTTTTACATATATTCTAAAGGGTTCTCTTATTTCTGAATAATTGGACGAAGCGTTAAAAAATACACGTCTAGATCTTATTTTGTGTGATTCTTCAGAGGACTAAAAGCAATAGGCTGTGTGGGTGGACACCAGCGCCCTCGCCCCGCAGCCGGGCCCAGGAGAGGCCTGGCACTCAGCACCGCGCCTCGCGCTCCACAAGCTGCTGTTGCTTTAGGGAATCAGAAGCATCACCTCCTGCTGCGCCTCCACACTGAGGGGGTCCCTGTTTCCACCTCCCTGAGGGTGAGCTGTACAGGGAAGCTAGGCGGGTGACAGAGAAATAGAGACATGGCCTTGAGGCCCATTCCTCTCCCCTCCTTCCTTGTCTTTCAAGTCCCAGAGGTGGACGATCTGGCCAATATCACTGCCTCTCGGGGCGACGGCAGGTCCCCTCTTTCTCCTTACACTCCTGAAGCAGGCATCATCAGCTCTTTTCAAGTTTATAAGGATTTTTACTCTTGGTAAGAACTGGTAACAGCTAGGGGGCTGAGAGAGCCCCCCGCCCAGAGACCAGGTTTCTCCCAACCCTTTTTTGTGTTCCTGTAGGTTCGGAAGACCTAAGTGCTGTCCTCCTAGGAAGCTGTCCAACACTGTGGTCAGCTCTTTATCTGTGTACCTTCCTCTCCTCTGCTTACACTCAGGGGCTCCTGAAGGGCAAAGAAACACAAGCAGGGGGCCTGGCCCAAAGCAGTGCTCAGCAGTTATTTGCAAAAAGAATTTGTGGCAACATTCATTTGCTGTTCGGGTATTTAAGACATCCTGATGGAGTTGCTGGGGGAGAGGGGGCTATGGGGGAAGAGGGCTGGGAAAGGGAGAGATCAGGAGATAAGAATAAAAAAAAGGTTTCTGAGAGGATTAGGAAAGAAAATGATACAGGGGTGCATCTCCCAAGACAACCCTGAACCAGAGATGGGCATGAGGAAGAAGTGGTCTCCAGGTCTCATGGGACCTTCCCTCCCTTTACTCTCAGAGGTTCTACTCTGAAAAGGACACCCTGGGCTGAGGCCAGAGCAGCAATGAGAACAAGAGAAAGGGAAGGGGGGATGGAGCCCCCCAAATTTGTGATGGGAAAGGAAAGGAGAGGACACCTAAGCAGTGGTAACGTGGCCACAGCAGCGCTGGGCTGATGGGCAATTCCAGGGGGAGGGGTTTATACCTGAGGCTACACAAAAAGACAGCTATGCATTGGGACTGTCTCTGTATATAACCATGAGAAAACCCTCCCGAATAGTAAGAACATTGGCCCTCCAGCCAATTCTCCAATTAGACATAAAGCACTTACCTTGAATTGAATAAATAATGATTTTTTCCATCGTGAGTTTTTTCACTGGAGGAAGAGTCAAATTGTAGGTATTTTTCACCATTGCAAAATATCCAACAAATCTATTCTGCAAAACAACAGAAGTCTCGATTTAAGTGGAGGTTAAAAAGTCCTGATTTTTTTAAGGAAAATAATTGATGAAGGAAACATTGATCGGGTGCCATTATGGAACTAGGCATTTGTTGCCTCATGATTAAATATCTACCTTAGAAAAAAAATACTGAATGAAGAGCAACAGGCAAGGAACAAGAAAGGAGCCAGGTGTTGCTTAGAGGCTGCTGGGACTGAGAGTGCAACAGACCAGAACCAACAAAACAGCTAGGACAACATGACAGCAAGATGCCATCAACTGCAAATGTGGGAGAGGTCGGCCTGGGGTAGAAGCTTCATTGTGGCTGAGTTAAAGGAAGGTTTGTGCTTTGGGGAGCAGTAGCCTCCTCGCATGAGAGAAGGGAAGATGTAAAAGCCCAGCGCGAGAGCTCCATAGGCCAGCAGCACATTCACATTCTTCTCCAGTCCCAGCCAGTGAGCATCTCTCCGCTTCCCGTTTCCCCAATCCCATTTTTGCAAGGAAGCCTGGGGATTCTCTTAGCCTAGTCCATCTCCTGTGGCAAGCCGTTCACAAGGGCTCTCCTTCCTTCTAGAAGTTAAGAGTTCTGGTACAGAATCAACCGGACTGAAAAGTTCATAGACTCTTCCCCATCCGTTGGGAAGTGTTAAGAAAATTAACCACCATCCTCTGCATTGGAAAGGACCAGTCAAGCTCTTAACTCAGGGGTGGATGAAATGTATGTAGTGCATTGAATGGCCACACTGCAGGATCAGGAGGGGATGGTGTCTGAGAATTACTGCCGCACACACAGGGAACTCTATCCTGGGGCCTCGCCAACACAGCCCTTGAGGCCGGGCCCCTGCACTGCTAGCCCAGTGAATCAGAAGAGACTCAGCTGCAGCCTAGGGTGTGCCAGTCCTGGAGTAAGTTAGAGACACTGCACGTAACTGCAGAGGAAATGGGGAAGGGAAGATGTGCCTGAAGGAGCTACCTCTAACGTCCCATTGGCTCCTGCCACCAGATTCTTGACCTTCCACTAAAGGCTTGTAACCTACCATGGCCCAGTAGCTGCGTTTGCTCTCACTCTTCTTTCCCCTACAGCCCAGAACAACAGGCGCATGTAGCAGAAGTTAATAAAACCAACGTCTATTTAGTAAGCACTCACTACAGACAAAGGAGATACTATATGAGGCACTTCGGGCTGCCAGGGTGGAAAGATGGGCAAGACATGGGCGTGCAAAGAGGGTAGAGAAGACACGACTTCGAATGGCTGGAAAATAATGTAAAGCAACTTAGTCCCTAAAAGGAACACAAAGGGCTATAAGAACTCCTGAAAAAGCAGGAGACTACTTCAGGCTGGGAGGGCAAGGGGACTCCAGGACAAGGGCCCTCGTGAGCACGTGGGTGTAAAGTATAAACAGGCTGGGAAACGGGGAACAATCCAAACGCGTTAGAGCGTGTGATGCACATAGTGGAAGAAGCGGTTGGAAAAATCAAATCTAGATTGGGAGTGCCAGGTTAAAACATATGTGTTGCCATTGGCAGTCAGAAGCCATTATGGATTTTGAGCGTGAAATGGCATGATTCGAGCTGGGCTTCAATAAGTTGATGTATTACTTATAGCCTATGGCCATCTTTTTTTTTTCCTTGTGTAGCTTGAGTTTGGCAGAAAAGTATGAATGGATAAGGCTGAGTTCTTTGATCCCAAATGAAATGTCTAGAGCCAGCAGTTACAGTGTTCTGCTAACTAGGCCAAGGGTATCAGCTTTCATCACTTCACTCAAAGAAAACTCTCCTTCATGGCCATATCCACAATTACTTAAGAATTCCCAACCATCTCTCACTTGGGTTCGAGGGGCCGTATAGTAAAGGCAATCCAAATGAGAAGCTGTGCACAGGATGGGAAATAATGGGCTTTGGAGTCTGAAAGATCTGGATTTGAGTTCTTAGTTCAAAAAGTTAGTTTCCCTGAACCTCGATTTCCCAGTCTATAAAATGGGAATCATAATGGTGCCCACTCATTGAGTTATTGAGAATATTAGATAATGAATGCAAAACCCTTAGCAGGATTCAACAAAGTCTAGAATGTTGTAAACTCTATGGGATAACGTCCTGGTTTCTGCAATAAACAATTTACAAGGAAAAAAAAAAGAGGTGGGAAACCTATAAACTAAAAGAGACTTAAGGAGACATAGCAACCAAATGAAATGTGTGCCCTTGTTTGGATCCTGACTGAAACTAAGTTTTAAAAAGATTTTAAGATAATTATGGAAATTTAAACGAGGACTAGACATTTGATACTATTAAGGTATAACATTGTTAGGTATGTCAATGGTTTTAAGGGTTTTTTTTTTTAGAGTCTTTATGTTAGATGTCACATTAAAAGGCTTAGGGGATAAGATGATCTGATGTCTGGGATTTCCTTCAAAATAATCCAAGTTTAGTGTGAAATGAAGCGCGCGTGTGTGTGTGTGTGGAGTGGGGAGGGAATGAATGGTTGGCCACATGACGAAATGATTGCTGAAGCAGTGTGATGAATATAAGGGGATTTACTGTATGACTGTCTTGACTTTTTATGAAAAAGTCCAGGATAAAACGTTTTAAAAAGGAAAAAAATAAGGTAATAACATGGGTTGTCTGAGTATTAAATGAGACAATATATGTAAAAGTACAATAGTGTCTAGTATAAAATAGGTTTTTGAAAAATGTTACTTTTCCCTTTCCTTTCTCCTTTGAAGTGCAGCCCCCCTCCCACCGACTCTGTCTCTTTTTCTGTCACTGTCTGTCTCTCCCTTACACATGTGCACATGTGTGTGCCCATGCGTGCACACACACACACACAATGTTCTACAAGGGCTGAATTGCCCTAATAGGGGTTTGTGAAAGACTCAGTTCCTCTTTACATGGAAATAAAAGGCTAGTGACTTCAGATAATCTTCAGGGGGTCTGAAACCTTAGGAATTGGACTTTCCTACCTTGGGAAGGGAATCAACTCCTGAACTCTGCAAACAATAACCAGTTAAAATGGAAGGCAGGGCGCTCTGGGGAGAACTCAGAGCAAAGGTGCAAAGCCAAGCAACACCTGAGGCAGGGCTCCTGGCCTCCGGAAGGGATCAAGGCCTGTCACGGGGCACCCAAGGAGAAGACCACCCAAGGAGAAGATGACCTAAGGAATCACCCAAGGAAGAGAGTCTAAAATGAAACCAGGTAATAGATGCCAATCTTAACCTAATTCCCCAGAGTGACTCCTTTTAAAGAAAGAGCACTTACCTGAGAAGGAGTTTCTATTCCCTGAAATTTACTGCTGGTGGATTTATCTGTTCGTCGTTCTCCAAAATAATAAAGGCTGTCCTATAAAAAAGGGGACAGTCCAGTCATGGGTCATCTGCACGTCCCTTTCCTGTAGAAGGCATTCTGAAGTTTCTAAGGGCACATGATTTCCTTAAGTCAGCGGTCTTTGGGCAGAGGCTATACCCGAAATAACAGAATTAACAAAGCTACAGCAAGGCCTACTCTCATTCAAAGACTCATAAAGACAATTTTAGAGCTGGAAGACTTTAGAGAGAATCTGGTCCTTCTTCCTGTCTTTCCATTTTACAAATGGAGAAGATTAGGACCCAAAGAAAACCAAGTGACCTGCCATGGAGATGCGTGCAGCCCGTCAGAGACAGCAAAGGCCTGAGCACCGGCCTCTGGCTCTGTCCAGGGCTCCAGACCAACAGCTTTCAAACTTTATATTTATATATTTACTTATTTTGGCCACGCCACACGGCTTATGGGATCTTAGTTCCCTGACCAGGGACTCAACCCTCGGCAGTGAAAGCGTAGAGTCCTAACCACTGGACCTCCAGAGAAGTCCCTCAAACTTTTTATTTTTAAAGCTACAATCCACATTCATAAACCTGGGAGATACACACACACACATACACACACACACACACACACGCACTCTCTCACACAGAACTGAAAAGTTTCACAAACAATACTTACCTTTTGATATTTCCTATTCTAATTGATTCCATTTTATTTAAAAAATGCGAGTGACAACGCAATAAGTTGATTTCACAACTCACTGATAAACTGTGATCCATAGTGTGAAAAACACTGTCCTACAGCATCCATTTTCCTGACCTGTGTGTCTCAAATTTGAAATAAAGACGACGGTGGAATCAGGGTGCTGGGCCCAGATCAGAACCCCCAGCTTCTCTTATCTGGGCTGCAGGCTGAGCGAGAAGCAGAGCTGCTGGGAGCGTGCCCTGTAAGAGGTGACGTTTTAGCAAGATCATGGCAGAAAAAGAGTGGGAACCCTGCTTTAAGACATAGCAACAGCCCATCCTGTCTTCTCAGAAATTTCCAGAGGGCACAGGCCCCACAGATGTTGACTGTGCAAAGATATAACATCCAGGAGAGACTTTGTTCTGAGTTGGAAAACGATGCCTTTTACCTACCTAGCACTTGCAAGGATGTTCAAGGTCCTTTAGAAAACTTCCCTAACCCATCATCTTCTTCTTCTCGTGAGAAAGGAGGAAGGCCTGGAGCTGGTGGGAATCTGGGTCTCAGGGAGGCAAGTCAAGCTTCTGTATCGCTGAGGTTTTCTTGCACTTTCACGACTTGACCTTACTCATTTCACATTAATCTGGACTCTGTTGTGTCCTGTCTTTATTTAAAATATTCCTATTGTATCCACGATGGATGTTTTGGCATTAACTTAGATTTTTTGAATGCTGCACTGGAATATTATTTATCTTAATTACTGAGATTTCTGGCATTCCCTTAAATTTTGTGTCCAAGGTGAGCGTCTCATTGACCTCACCCTCATCCCGTCCCAAAGAAAGAGGCCCTGAGGTCAGGTACTAACTAGTGCCAGTTAAATGAGAAAGTATCCAAACCAGGCTTTCTAATAATCACCTCTCCAATTACAACTCCATTAATTACCATGACTCAGGGATCATGTTAACATCCCACCAGCGAGGCTTCAGAGCTAGCAAATTCAATCAGCCTAAGACAGCACTGGCAGGAGCAGCTTTCATACCTCTGCGGTTGCAAATATTTCACTGGCAAGAAGGTAGGCACAGATCATAGTTCCAGTTCTTCCTAGAAAAGAAGTTAGTTCATGAACCATTGCCCATGGCAGCACTTGGTATAAAACTACTCTCAGAAGTATTTAGAGTTCATTTTGGATTGATTTTCTTCCACTCTGAAAGTGCTGGTTCAAAATATTTCAATTCAGAGATAGACAAAGCCCTTACACTGCTTGCTCTGAGGTTCTACCTGGAGTTCTGTGCTAATTCTGTGCTAATGATGTGCACGTGTATGTTGTTCTTGACTCATGACCCCTGGAGACTGCAGTAACAGGCAGAGGCAATGAGCTCTGCTCCAGGACTCTAAAGCTAAAGAGATACCTACCAATTAAGAGCTAATTACACACCCTGTTTTCCTACTAATGTAAATAAAAGAAACTATAAAAGATAAAACGTGGACAGAACCCAAAACACCACCTAGCATTTGCCATATCTATTATTCCTTCCATTTTAGAGTTTTTTGTGTGTTATAAGACATATATTAAAGTAGAAAGAACAGAATAATGAGCCCCCATATACCTGTTCCCCAGATTCGGTAATTATCATATTGTTATACTTGTTTCTTCCTTTTCTTCCCTCATCCTTCTTTCCCTCCCCCTCTCTACACGCACCCCAGCCCCCCCACCAGCACGTTAAAGCAAATCCTTGATTTCATGTCATTTTATCCTAAAGTCTCATGTTTTTTTCTAATTTATATTTTTGCCCTGCCACATAAAATGTGAGTTAAAAAGTACATTGCATCTATTCTTTCTACAATGATCTGTAGTTTTGTCTTAGCCAGTATATGCTGAACTTTATTTTATGCAATTCCAAACTTATCCTTTTACCTTAAGATGCACCCTATTTTCTATTCTATCCTTTTAAGAAAATGGACCACTGAATTTATTTTGCAACCCATAGTTTGAAAAACAATATTCTAAGCCAAGTACTTCCAAAGAGGACTTTGTACCACCCTGTGCTCTGATAAGGAAAAGCTTCTTGCTAAAGGAGGCTACTGACCATTAACAATGTAGCTCTCTAGCATGGATGGTTCACATTTCAATTCTGGAGGACACCTCTGAGTCTTTACAGCCCTTATATATTCCCATTCGAAAAAAAACTTGCAGATTCATGTCCCAGTGGCTATGGATAAGCACAACCACAAAGTAGATGCCCTCTCATCCAGTCAAGTCAGGTATGCAAGGAATCATTAAAATGATTTACACTTGTCTTCAGTATTTTAACTTAAAACATAAACATATATTCATTCACTGAACTTTTGCTATTGGACAAAGGTTTTAAGTTTTTAACTATGGTGAAAGGAAATCTACCAAAATACCTACCAGGTATATCATATTAATGATGAAATGATGATAACATTCCTCTTAAAGCCAGGAACTAAACAAACTATCCACTATTCACTGCTTCTATTTACTACATGGCTTAGCCAGTATTGTAAGATAAGAAAAACAAAATGTATAGGGATAAAAACAGAAGAAACAAACTCTCATTATTTGCAGACTAGAAAAGTCCAAGTAAATCTATAGGCTAACCCCTAAAACTAATGAAAGAGTTCAGGAAGATACAAGGTCAACACTAAGAAAGAAGCAAAAACTGATAGCTAAATAAGGGATGTCAGTTGAAATCTTTAGAGAAATTACTAAGGAATATAAAAAGAGTATATGACTTCCAAGCAAATGGTGGTGGTGGGAGGAAGGAATTATGCTGCAAAGAATTCAAGCAAACCAAAGTAAAATATCAGTAAGGATACAGGAGATTTGAATAAAACAATTAACAAACAACCTAAGGGGCACATGTAGAACACTGTTCAGGACAATGCATAACACACTTTATTTTCAAGTGCACAGAAAACATTTGATAAAATTGACCAAATTCTGGGCGATAAAGCAAGTCTAGATACATCTCAAAGAACTAAAAAAAATGCATATGTTCTCTGACCACAATGCAATGCAACCAGAAATATATAAAAATTATAATAGTGTGGTATAGAAAATTCAGACAGTCCCAAATACATATGGAAACTTGGTGTATGACTGAGAAGGAACTACAAGTTGATGGGGACTACATGAGCATGTAATAGATGGTTTTAGGACAACTGTCTATCCATGTGGGAAAAAAAATCTCCCTCCCCAAATTCCAATTAGATTAAAGACCTAAATGTAAAAAGCGAAACTTTACTATTTTATAAGGAGAATATCTTCACCACCTCAGCGTGTGGGTGGATTTCTTAAACGTGACCAAAATGCACGAACCACACACACACAAGATTGATAAGCTTCACACATTAAAAATTAAAAACTTCTATATGAAAAAATAAATCATAATCAAATTTAAAAGACAACACAGTGGAAGAAGATATTTGCAATACAAACTGCTAACAAAAAATTAGCACCCAGATTATTTAAAGAAGTCCTATAAATCAATAACAAAATATTTGGGCTATCATGATATTACTGGTAATGTGCAGGCATCAACCAACAAAAAGAAGCAAAACCAAGATGAATGAAAACTTGAAAAAAGGAGCTGCTCTGGTACAGACCAACTGAATACTAGCCTTCCAAACAATCCTAAAGGAAAAGCAATGAAACACACATGAACACAGAATAATGTAAGTCTGCCCTCAGGAAAAATAATTAAATTTGAAATGAAGGTTTTCCTTTAAGCAGGGAATTAACCTGATTAAAAGAAGACTAAAGCCAACTCTTAGATTATAATATTTTGGTTGAGCCATATTAAATAGCCTTTTTTTAAAGTAAAAGATGGTCCAAAGAAAGGCAATTCCATGTGGTTCAACCTCTGTATTCTTCATTTAGGCACAATATTGTAAATTGCCGTACATACAGAATATTTCGACCTGTGGAACTAAAGATAGAACTTGCCTACTAACTCATGAGCTTGAAACTACTTTTCAAATAAGACTAAAACTTTATTCTACTCAATTACAGAAGGCAGTTTTAAAGTGTGTTTTCCTGGAATTTAATATAAAAAACTATTTCACAGCCCAACGAAACCATAATTCCTTATTTGTCAAAAATTGTGAAATATGCCTAGATGATTATTAAAAGCCTAAATCTGAATGAGAGAAAATCTGACTCAAGTTAAATTGGTTGAATTCACAACTGGCTTTCCCACCACCCCCATTTTCCCCCCACCAAAATCAACTTCTATGTATCATTACACTATAAAAATTCCAGTATAATTTTTGGTCTTTGAAATGGCATTGCTGTCGACACTCTTAACTTTAAAAGGTCCTCACAAAGTTTAAGAACAACCTTAAATAAAATGAAAAGTGCTCTGATGTTTTCTAAAGTTAAACAGTGTTTGTATTTTGACAGATATCTTGGCAAATCAAAAATGAAGAAACCCAAATAGTCAATAAACAAGGGAAAACACACTTAACCTTCCTCAGTTCTTCTATTCCTGCTTTCTTCTCTTCTTTACTCTTTCTTCCTTTCCTCCCCGCTTCCTCCCTCTTTCCTTCCCCTTCCTTTAGTCTTGAAGCTAATAGTAAAAAATGTTAACAATGATTAATACCGGTTAATAGCAGAACGTATCTTGTTGGTGTACTTTAATATATTTTTCAAATTTCTTTAGAAGAAGAGAAAGAAAAAGAAAAATGTTTTTTACCTTTGCCCCCCTTACAGTGAATCACTGTGATGTTTTCCTCATCTTGAGCCAGCCACTCTTTTACTTCCTTGGAGAATGCCACCATCTCACTGATTCCAAGTGAAAGATTTTTAGCTGAATGAAAATACTTCCCAAAAAAATCAAGCCCTTTGTATTTAGCCCCCTTATGACAGCCAGCTTGGCATCAAACTTACCTCAAAGAGGGGACATTGTGATCGTCAATCATGTATCGACGGACCCTATCATGGAAGTACTTAGCATCATAAGCTCTTTCACCTGAAATAAATGATGCACGGGTCATATCTCTAACCCTAATAAACACAGTAAATGGTCAAGGTATAAATAAGTTATACTTTTCTATTTGAAATTCCTCCTCTACCTTTAAAAGGAGCTTTCTGTCTGGCTCCTGCTGCTCTAAAAGAAACGTAAGGGTCTCAAATATAAAAGTAGGGGCTTCCCTCGTGGCGCAGTGGTTGAGAGTCTGCCTGCCGATGCAGGGGACACGGGTTCGTGCCCCGGTCCGGGAAGATCGCACGTGCCGCGGAGTGGCTGGGCCTGTGAGCCATGGCCACTGGGCCTGCACGTCCGGAGCCTGGGCTCCGAAACGGGAGAGGCCACAACAGTGAGAGGCCCGTGTACCGCAAAAAAAATAATAATAAAAATAAAAGTAGAGTAGTGTTTTGTCCATCTTGAGTAACATAAGCCCAAATTATTTTGGTTTAATAGGACTTATTTGTACTTTTCTAGCAGGCTACTCACTACATTATCAGAAGGTTACACAGAGCAGAAGCCAATGTGGCCAACCAAAATACTTGCCTCCTGAAAATGTCCATTTAATATACAGGAAGAGGGTCAGCTGGGCTATAATTTGTTTGCTATAGGGTTTGGGGGTTTCTTCCCATGCAGGGCCCTAGTCTCCTCACTCCTCATTCCTAGTGGGTTAGAGCATGCATTTGTTGAATTGTCTTCAAAACACAAGCTGGCAGGAAAAAACAAATATTTTCCAAAACCTACTACCACTAGACTTGAGTCTCCTAAAATAGCTCTGCCCCCAGTCTCCTGCCTACCTCACGGGGCACTGTGTGCTGTTGCACTTTCTTTTCCTACCAAATAGAGCCAGCACAAGATGGAGACTTTTAAAAACTCACTTCCCACCACCACCAAATACCTATGATTAAATGAAATGTAAAAACTGAATCACCTTCTTACATGCAGTGAGTGACCTGTTTTCTATCTATAATAGCAAAATATCAAGTCATGTACATACTGCATAGATTGTAGACTCGGTAGTGGTTTTGATGCTTGGTATCCAGGAACCGTACAACTTCCTAAAAAAGACGGACACGTACCTTACATATTCCACATGGCACCAACATAAGCCTTTTCCTAGGACTAACCTCAAATGATTATCACCCTTCTATTCACTGGTCCGTCACTTAGCACCTTTTATGGGAGATTCAGGGAATAAAAAGGTACATACATTCCAAGTCATATCTAACCCACTGATGGTTTTCAAATAGCCCACAAAAGTTTTGATGACTACTCTGATTAGCCTCTACTGTAAATACACATTGTTTAAAGCTACCAGAGAAGGAAGTTAGTAGGTGGTTAACAAGCTTTAAGAAAACTGTAATTTGTTCTAAAATTTGTATGGAACCACAAAAGATCCTGAATAGCCCATCTTCAGAAAGAAGAACAAAGCTGGAGTTATCACGCTCCCTGATTTTAAACTATACTATTGATACAAAGCTGAAGTCATCAGAACAGTAGGGTACTGGCACAAAAACAAACACATAGATCAATGGAACAGAATTGAGGGCCCAGAAAAAAACCCACACATATATGGATAATTAATTTATGATAAAGGAGCAAAGAACATACAGAAAGGATCGTCTCTTTAATATATGGTGTTGGGAAAACTGGATAGCCACATGCAAAAGAATGAACCTATACCACTATGTCACTCCATACACAAAAATTAACTCAAAAAGGATTAAAGACTTGAATGTAAGATGTGAAAACATAAAACTCCTAGAAGAAAACATAGCTGGTAATTTCATTGACATTGCTCTCAGCGATGTTTTTGTGGATCTGACTCCAAAGGCAAGGGAAACAAAAGCCAATGTAAACAAATGGGACTACGTCAAACTGAAAAGCTTCTGCACGGTGGTGAAAACCATGATCAAAACGAAAAGGCAACCTAGTGAATGGGCAAAAATATTTGCAATTTATATATCCAATAAGGGGTTAATGCCCAAAATATATGAACTATACAACTTAAAAACAAAAAAACAACCCAATTAAAAAATGGGTAGAGGACCTGGATAGACAACTTTCCAAAGAAGATATACAGATGGCCAATGGGCACAAGAAAAGACGTTCAGCATCACTAATCATTAGGGAAAAATGCACATCAAAACCACAATAAGATATCACTTCACGCTTATTAGAATGGCTATTATCAAAAAGGTAAGAAATAACAAATGTTGGAGAGGATGTGGAGAAAAGGGAACCCTCAAACACTGTTGGTGGGACTGTAAATTGGAGCAGCCACTATGGAAAACAGCACGGAGATTACCCCCCAAATTAAGACTAGAAATGCCATATGATCCCAGCTATTCCACTTCTGGGTATTTAGCCAAAGAACACAAAAAACCACTATAATTCCAAAAGATATCTGCACCCCTATATTCACTGCAGCATTATTGACAACAGCCAAGATATGGAAACAACCCAAATGTCCACTGATGAATGAATAAAGATGTGATAAATACGTGTGCGTGTGCATGCACACACACACACACACACACACACACACACACTGAATACAACTCAACCATAAAAGAATGAAGTCCTGCCATTTGCAACAACATGGATGGACCTTGAAAGTATTTGCTAAATGAAATTGTCAGGAAGAGAAAGACAAACACCGTACAATTTCACTCATATGTGAAATCTAAAAAAATAAAACAAATGAACAAACAAAAGTGAACAAAACCAAACATAGATACAGAGAACAGATCACTGGTTACCAGAGGGGAAGGGGTTTGGGGTGTGGCTGAAATAGGTAGAGGCTCAACTGTATGGTGACAGACGGCAGCTAGACTTGTGCTGGTGATCACTTTGTAGTGTATACAGATGTTGAATTTTAATGCTGTACTCCTGGCAACTTATACAAAAACAAAGAGAGAGAGAGAATGGGGTGGGGAGAGAACAGGAAGGAAGGAAGGGAAGAAGGGAAGGAGGGAAGGAAGGAGGGAGGGAGGGAGGGAGGGAGGAAGGAAGGAATGGTTTGCCTCAGAGCACAGTGAGCAAAGAGTCTTTACAAACTTACAGCATGATGAGGACAAAATTCACAATGACTCTGACATCTGGATCAGGAGTTCCTCAGTCAGCCGTATAGAAAATAAACATCCAAATGAATATGGTCTGGGAGCTGAGGGACATGAGGTTAAAAAACTCAAGTTTGACAAAGAAGGTGAAGTCAGAGATGACCAAACAACTTCTAGTCACACTTCTTCAGTTATGACAGAAGAAACAGAAGAACCAGTTTCATCTAAGAATAAAGACGAAGAGAAGAGGATGAAGAGGACGAGTGTCTTTAACAACAGAAATGATTCCAGAAAAAAAAATTCAAGAGAAAGAATCTGATGATGCCTTAACTATAAATGAAGAGAATTCTGTGGAAAATAATCAAATAGAGGAATCTCATCTGTCTCAGGATGAGACAGATTTACATTCTGAAGACAGTGAAAACAGAGGCCCTGCAAGGAGGATTCCAACTGCCATGAAACAGAAGAATTAGGAGGCTCCAATTCCAGTAGAACTGGAGAGATTCTCTCAGAATCTTCCACAGAAAATGACTATAAAGCCACAGAAGTCACGGATGAACCAACAGAACAAGACTATTTAGAAATAGTTACATGCAGTATTTCACACTCAATTCTAGTCTTACACTGTATGAAATTTCTGTGTAATCAAATGGACCTTTAGTTTTGCACAAGTAGAAAGTTGTAAAATAAAGTACTTCATGGGATTAAACCCTGAAAGAGTTGTTCTTGTAGGAACTGTATCAGCTTTTCCGGGTCCTGCTTACTAAACACTTTTTTGGGGGGGCGGGGGAGGATCTGGTTAAATCAGTGGCTTGTGTATAGATTTTTTTTTTAATTTAGAATTAAAATTTTCAAACTGGAAGGTAATAATTACAATTTTTTTTTTTTTGGAGAGTATCATGCTTAGATTATACATATGTGAAAAGGCTTCTAGTCTTTTTCTAACAGCTCTGGTAGTTTTCATATTTTGGTCATAGTTTCAACATTTACCATATGAATTAAAGGGTTTCATGGTAGTTATATTATTTATATTTATAAATTACATATATGTTCATCTTTTACAGAAACAGAAAAATTAAAAATTTGCTCCCTTAGAATAATATATGTATATTTATGTGTAACATATTTTATAATGTTATATGTTATATGATATAACATATGTAATATAACACATATATAAAATATAACATATAACATTATATACAAATAATGTATATAACAGAATTATATATTGCATAAATGATATATAAATTTTAATTTACATATCATTCATACAAAATATAAATTATATAATTATATAATATATAATTTATAAATTTATATAAGTTACATATCTATATACTTATAGTATTATATGTTTATGATGTTAATATATTCATAATATATGCATACTTATATATTATTGTTATATAATTATATGATATGTAATATAGTTATATAATTTATATATTATATAATTATATATAATAACATAATATACTATATATAAATATAATATATTATTAAAAAGGGGAAATGTTATATTTTTCTGTTTCTATAAGAGATAAGTTTATATTATATATTTATAAATGGAATAATATATTTACATGTTATATAAGACATATACATATAATATATAATTTATACATGTAATTATATATTATTCTGTATAATATATATTATATATAAGTATACATGTATTATTCTAAGGGGGAAATGTTATATTTTTCTGTTTCTATAAGAGATAAGATATATATGTAATATATATTTATAAATAGAATAATAGTTATACTATATAAAATTTATATGCAGTAATAGATAACATATAATTGTATATAACATATGATATATATTACATTTACTATATTCTAATTTTATATATTATATATTAATATATATTTAATATATACTGTAATATATATTTTATTTAAATATACACTATTTTAAGAGGGAAATGTATTATATATTATATAATTACATGTACAACTATACATTATCTTATATATGCTATATAGTATAGTATATATAATATATATTACATATAATTATATACACATTATTCTGAGAGGGGAAATGTTCTATTTTTCTGTCTCTATAAGATATGCATTGGATACTTTTTCTATTGGTAATGATCGAGTCCACATCTTTCAAAGCCGTTCCTTTCTCCTCTAAGTAATTAAAAATCTGGTCCTTGTGAAACCATGGAAACTTTAAGTCTGTTGAAATATCAGGTTAAACACGTTCTGAGAGATCTGTTCAACCTAAAATTCTTTTGTATACTTTTGTGGTGCTTGAGAAGAAGACTTCACCATTTGTGAGAAAATGTGCTTTATCTTGGAAATTGTGTTCAAACATTAGCTTACTATTTTGTAGGATTGAATATGCTTATGAAGTTGATGTGAGACCGTCTCAGAAGAACTGGGCAGATTCACAGAACTTTTGCTTGCTTTTCTGAACATTTGTGAATACTACACATTTCTTTCTAACATATTCTAGAGTATGCAAATGTCAATGGTATGAAACACAATTACACTGGAAAACTAAATTAACGATGAACTTGAGCTAAATGACTGAAGGTCATATTCACAGATTAAAGTCACGCAAGCCGTACAACTTCCTGTCAAAATTACTGGCTGCCAAATTTATACTTGTTTCTTCAGATGTACCTTTTGATATTTAGAATTTTTAATTTTCTGTAAAAGAGACTTTTTAGAGTGTAATGTGTTTGCTGCCTTTGTGAAGCAATGTATAATTGTATAATTTCTGTAAGTAAACTGAATGCTTGAGCTTTCAATCAGTATTCTAGAAGCAATAAATGTTATTTTATACCATTTAGAAAGAACTACTGTACACCCAACAATATTGGATAAATCCCACAGAATTCATTTTAAGCATAAAAAGCTGGTCACAGAAGATGTAGTCTATGATTCCATTTATGTGAAATTCAAGAAAAAGTAGAACTAATCTGTTGTGACACAAGGGAGAATAGTAATTACCTCCAGTGTGTTGGGGTATTGACTGAAAAAGAGCAAGAAATGTTCTATATTTTGATAGGGGTGTTGGCTGTATATATGCCTATATATAATTTTACCAAGATATACATGAGATTAGCACAATTTACATGCCTCAAAGTATAATTATATATACACATATATAGACATACACACATATACATACAAAATTACAGTTTTATTGAGATAGAACAAATACTGTAAATTGCACTAATGTATACACACCCACACACATATGCAAACTTCTTAAACAATGACTTTTAACTGGCATTTCATAGTAAGCATCACTTGATGTTTGAACTTTATTTAATCTACAGGACCTAAAGCAGTATGTATCCACTGTAATTTAGGATCTCAATCTAAGAATACACACTTTAGTTAAAGAATTCTCAATCTTCTTCCCTATGACAGATCATGAAAAACAGCCACAATTCACCACAATTCCTGCCTTCCAGAGACGGCATCTGTCGTCTGCTTGAATCTGAACCGGGTTTGTAGTTTGCTTGTCCAATAGGATAAGGTAGAAGCCACATTATACTAGTTGAGAGCCAGGGCCTCTGCATTCTTTGATGCTAGTGAGGTCCTTGCCACTGCCTTATGTGAACAAGCCTGAGCTAGCCTGTTACAGAATGAGACATCACTTGGAGCCAGCCAGCAATGCCATTTTAGACTAGCCCACCCTCAGATGCCCAGCTGCTGCCCACAGATGCATGAGTTAGCTCTGCTGAAATTAGTTAAGCGTGTCCCTGATCAGTTAAGCGCAACTCAAATTCACAAACCACATTATCACGAGCAAAGTAAATGTTTGCTGTTATAAGTCATTTAAGTTTGCGGGTGATTCATCACAGAGCGAAAGCTAATTGATAGCAATCCATGATAATTTTTTACCTGAAAGAGTAAATTTTTAGGAGAACACTGTCATCTCTGGGCCCACATTATCTCACAATTCCACAGTCTATGCTTACTGAGAAATGTGAGCATTAAGGTAAGAGGTAAAAACTCTTACCTTAATGGGATTCCTATAGAAAGACTGCTTTCCAGAAGATGGGAATGACATGGCAATAATACGCTCTGGAAGTCAAAACAGTCACTATTAACAAATGTTATAGATGTGAAACAATATATGAGAACTCGACTTACATATAATCAGACTGCTTTCATAGAAAAGAACTGTCAGGATTGAGAATGACAGGAAAAAAGCTAACTAACCCTCAGGATAATCAACTTTAATATCCAATACTGGATATTAAAGTATCCACTATTTTGACCATTACATTCAGTCTTCCCAAGTCTCAACTGGTTCCAACCTTATGCAACAGATTTGCGTTGACTTTTGTCTGGAGGGCCCCCTGTGGTGGGAATTGATTTCTTTTTTAAACACCAAAGAAAAATGAGAGATCTGGGCTCCAGCAATGTTGGGAACTCCTAGGATGCTTTCCAGTGTTCCCCTGACTCAGAAACCCAGACCTACAAAGCAATGACTTCAGCGTTCTAGGAAGAGAACAGGCCTCTCCGAAATCCTTGGGACCGAGGATAACTACTAGAATTCAATAAATTCTAAACCAAACAAATGGAGTCAGCTGAAAATCCATTCAACTTCCTATACTATAAGCAAGTAGCCCTGAATTGAGATGAAAATTAAGATTTTTCCATTTTCAGGGTTAAACTCCAAATATGTCCCACTATCATAGTGGCATATGTCTTCGTGGATAAAAAATGCTTTGAAAGAACATGCCTCAGACAGGGAAAGAACAAAATTAGCATATAATTACTCACACACAAGAAAAATGTGATGTTAATATATGAAAGCTTCACAAACCAGTAATGTAAGTGAGGTCTAACTCAAATCCATCCTTCTTGTATCGCCGTTTGTTTCCTGAAACCTGAGGGTTTAAAACAATCATTCATTTGTAAAACATAACTCAACATAAAAAAAGAACAATATATAGATATCTACAACCCTTGCCAGTATTTCCTGAAGCACAAACATTTTTTCTGAATCATAAACATATTTTGCCCACTTACCATCCTCCTGGTCAGCATTTCAAGATGTCTTTTTTGATGAGCCAGATGAAAAACTCTTATTAGAGTGATAAGTCGTAGAGGTCGTAAAATAATTGTCGACCTAACAATAAAAGATGCATTTTTGCTTTAGAAACAGAGGATTTTGTCAGTATGGACTAAGTTTAGAGCAGTGGCTCTTAACCAGGGGCAATTTTGCACACGACCCCCTGGCCCAAGCCTCCCGCCCACCCCGGGCATATTTGGCAATGCCCAGAGACATGTTTCGTTGTCACAACTGCCTGCGAGGGGCTGCTACTTGCATCTAGTGGGTAGAGGCCAGGGATGCTGTTCAGTACCGATGCACAGGACAGCTCCCTTACTAAAAATGTATCTGTCCAAAATATCAGTAGTGCTGGTGTTGAGAAACTCTGATTTAAAGAAGTAGTCATATGGTAGACTCTCAGAATTTGTGGGTTTAACTTCTGTGGTTTAAGACAAGCATTTTTCAATCTTTTTCCCATCAAAACAGAATTCTTATTCCCCTGTTACTCCCATGAGTAACAGGGGTTCACTAGAGCTGTGAACACACATCAGGCAGGTAGCAGATGAGTTACTTCCTACCATCAGGAAGAAACACGATGGCAAAGAACTGATGGTTTGGGCTAGCGCTTCTCTAGCTTGTGTGTGCATGCTGATTCAGTAGGTCTAGAGTGGGCCCTGAGGTGTTTTTCTTCTTGTATTTCTGACAAGCTCTTCGGTGATGCTGAGGTTGCCTGTCTGAAGACCATACTGGTTTTGGTTATTTTCAAAAACTCCGAAAGCTTGTCACATCAAGTTTTGTTGGGACCTGAGGGAAAGTCCTGAGAAGCTGGAGTGCAGGAAGTGGCAAGCTATCTGACTAAGGAATAGGCCTAGTGAGCCACCCAACAGCTACATCCTAGAACACTTTTGCTCTTTTTCTTCTCACTGCCACAGTAGAAAGAGGAGGAGAAAGAAAAAAGCCATCGGTCTCTCATACACATTTTTGTTTGATCCCTAATGGTTCTAACCTTGCCTCAGCTTTCATCATGTTAACTATACTGCAAAAATTGTACCTCTGTGTTTCTACCCCTGTCACCTCGTTTTTCTCTTCCATTTGTTCCTTTTTAGAGAATCATCATTGGAGGCACTCACATTTTTCATCAACTCAAACCAGTACTCTCTTGGTTATAGGAAAAACCCAGGAATTTCACGTGTAAGAAATTTGTGGTTGAAGCGCAAATGGGAATTTAGTGGGAATTTCAAAATGTAGAGAAGTTCAAGTTGGGACAAGAGGCAAGTCCCCAGTTTCTTCTTTGGGGGCATCATCTTCTTCATTCAACTAAAGGTACTCAGTGTGGACACCCTTCACTGGTCCCTAAACACCACCATCCTTTAGTTTCCAGATATGTGGAAATTTATCTCAACGTTTCATTTTCAAGCAGCTCATTTAGCACAGAATTAGCACATTCAGAGTTTAAAAGATTACACAAAATGAAAGCCACAGAAAATATTTTTTAAGAAAGAAAAACTTTAAGAGAAGGGAAGCATATGTTTCTTACTTGGGGAAATCTTTAAGAACCTTAAAGTCATAGAAAATACAAGCAATATTGACCAGTAGAGTCACCACAATAATGGCAGCATCTAAGGAGTTAAATATATCAGAAAAATACCGTCGTATCCTGTAACAAAAAATATATATATATAAGTTTATGCTTCCCCAAAGAAGAGGTAGGGATATTTTAAAAGCACAAATTATTTGACTCATCCCCCTTAAGATTTCTGGTTTGGGATTTCCCTGGTGGTCCAGTGGGTAAGACTGCGCTCCTGATGCAGGGAGCCCGGGTTAGATTCCTGGTCAGGGAACTAGATCCCACGTGCATGCTGCAACTAAGAGTCCGCATGCTGCAACTAAGAACCAGCGCAGCCAAAATAAATATTTTTTAAAAAAAGGAATTCAGGGCTTCCCTGGTGGCGCAGTGGTTGGGAGTCCGCCTGCTGATGCAGGGGACGCGGGTTCGTGCCCCGGTCTGGGAGGATCCCACATGCCGTGGAGCGGCTGGGCCCGTGAGCCATGGCCACTGAGCCTGCGCGTCCGGAGCCTGTGCTCCACAACGGGAGAGGCCACAACACTGAGAGGCCCGCATACCGCAAAAAAAAAAAAAAAAAAAAAAAGGAATTCAGCTTTGATGAATGATTTATTTATTTATTTTTGGCTGTGTTGGGTCTTCGTTTCTGTGCGAGGGCTTTCTCCAGTGGCGGCGAGCAGGGGCCACTCTTCATCGCAGTGTGCGGGCCGCTCACTGTCGTGGCCTCTCTTGTTGCAGAGCACAGGCTCCAGATGCGCAGGCTCAGTAGTTGTGGCTCATGGGGCTAGTTGCTCCGCGGCATGTGGGATCTTCCCAGACCAGGGCACGAACCCGTATCCCCTGCATTAGCAGGCAGATTCTCAACTACTGCGCCACCAGGGAAGCCCTTGATGAATGATTTAAAGTGCATTTACTAGACTAGATTAAGGAAAAAAATATTCATACTCATTTTATACTTATATAGGACAAGAACATCAGTATGGCAAGTATAACCATAGTATAGTAAGAGATATAACCAAACCATTGAACAAGAGACAAGCATTGCCTTCACACAGGTGGGAGAGAGAGATGGGATGGTGAGCGATGCTATCGCACAATGGAAGCTGAACATGTCACAGCCCTAGAGAAACGGGCTGTAAGATGTGCATGAAAGGAGCTTGTGAGAGGAAGATGGGTCCACTACTTTGGCCTGCAAACTCATCACCTGGCTTTGCACCCACAGTGGAATTCCAGTGAGCTGGTGTGGCCTCCTCTGTGCAAAGCTGAACTTTCAGCCCTGGCACCTCCTCAACACTAGCTCCTTCAGCCATTGGCACTGGGGCTCCAGGGAAATCATCTTCTAATCCTGGGATAGCCCCTTTAGGCTCTGAGTAACCTGGGAGTGGGCAACTGTCCTCAGCTCAGAGGCACGAGGACAGAGATTCAGCCAGAAAGGAGACAAGCATGTTCCAAAATGCTCTGATGAAGTGAGGCTGGGGAGTTTAGTCCCTGACTCGCTCTCCCATAGAGCTTAACACAAGTTTTTGTTCATTTATTTTTAAATTTCTCATTTTTAAAAAATTTTTTGGCCGTGCAGCTTGCAGGATCTTAGTTCCCCGACCAGGGATCAAACCCATGCCCCCTGCAGTGGAAGCATGGAGTCCTAACCACTGGACCACCAGGGAAGTACCACAAATTTTTATTTTAACTGAGGTAGGGTTTGCTCATGATCTATTATCTAGTACTTAATATACTGTCAGCTTTTATTTACATTGAACTCAATAAAAATATCAATATTTATACTTCACATACATATTCCTCTTAATAACATGCATGTAGACATATTAGCTGCCTGGCCCCATTTTGCAAACCCTTTAAGCTTTACCTGTTGAAGGAACTATCTAGAATACATGGTTTGGAGGCTAGAGTGCCAGTTGCAATAGTACTATTAAAGCTCAATCTGATAGAAATTGGGATTTGGATCGTTGTTTCTCTTGTGGAGTATGCCTTCAAGGAGAATTATTTTGATAAAGAGGGGCACATTTAGTTGGGTTGACCTGGTAATTCCTTGGGATGCTTCTCATAGCAGTACAAAATAGCTCTATGTGCTTTTAAAAAATTAATCAAACTTACCCTTCTATAAATACTCGAAGGAAAACATCCATGAAAAAAAATAAAGCAATAGCTAAAGAAACTGAACGATATTCCACAGGAATATACATCGTGCTATCAGAGACAACTATGTCTGTAATGATGAGGGACACATCCACAAAGGTCAGCAAAATTCCAAATATTCTACAACAAATAAATAAACCAAATAAGGATAAAGTGGTTTTCACACCTATAGGTAGACTAACTTCAGCCCAATGATCTGATATCAAAATGTGATTATTTGGGGTTAAACTGTTCAGTGGTAGGGAGAACTGCCCTTAGAACCTCAACATAAATGACTCTGCTTTCACCCAATAGAAGCAGTTGTTAGAGACATAAATTTCCCACTAAACCACTTCATGATATCATGCCCTTTTATATTAAGACACATCAGACCAACACTCCAAGACAGAAGAGGCAAACTACATTAAAATTACGTTTCCAATTGTAAACCCTTCTTAAAATTTAAGAATTTTAGAAGGGTCTTCTACCCATTTCCCTCAATAAATTAAACCTCATTAATCTTGATATTTTTAAAGAATTTAGTAATAAAAACCAAGTGAAAGCATGACTAACATAAGCCCTTAAAAGACTACTTTGACCAGTAAGGCCTCTTATCAGTGAGTTTATCAACAAATATAAGATTACATATCAATGGATGGTTCTGGCACAGTTCTGGGCACGTAAGAAGGAATTCAATTCAATAAATACATACATAATTGAACTCTAAAGTAACTCCTAAGCCTTTTTCCTGTATATGCTAAACACATTCTCTGTAAGTTGATTATACTATTTGTATACTCTATGTAGATAAATTAATCTTAAAGCACTTTTTCACAATTGCAATGCAAATTAAAATATCAATTTAAAAGGAAGCAAGTACATTGTGTGAACCTGTAACATAGTATGAAATCTTACTATCATGTAGAGAAGAAAGATCTAAGTAAAATGTTTCCAGAATTGAGTAATTCTAGGTGAATAAACACCTAGTATTTATTAATATTTACTAAAACACTTTCCTTATAACTATAGAATTTTGAAATTCATGTTTCATTATTTTTACTTTTACAGGTAGAAAAAAACATGTTAATATGTTGATATTAGACTCCGTACATGCCATTTCTTTGCAATTCTTAATGTTTAGCTTCAATTAAAATTCCAAGAAAAATTAGATTGCATTAAATGGGGCACAAAGGTCATTTAGCGACATACTGACAGTGGAAATGCTTTTTTTTCCCTCCCAGATCCTTTGCCATTAAAAAATATTGATATTAAATGTAACACATACTTAATTACCTCCTTTTCTGGAGTCTCACATACCTGAAAGTGAAGGATGATACAATCAAGTACACAATTCTCTTAATCTTGCTGCTGCAATAAGAAGTAAAAATAAAGTTTCAGAGCTTTCAAGTGTATCAGATTTTTCCTAACATATAGTATGAATTTAACCAACAAAGGCCTTTATAATTTTTAAAGTCTCCAGAAGTTGCCTAACAAAATGCTTTTACTAATAACTGTAAAAATTTCACCTGGGGCTTCCCTGGTGGCGCAGTGCTTGAAAGTCTGCCTGCCGATGCAGGGAACACGGGTTCGTGTCCCGGTCCGGGAAGATCCCACATGCCGCGGAGCAGCTGGGCCCGTGAGCCATGGCCGCTGAGCCTGCGCGTCCGGAGCCTGTGCTCCGCAACGGGAGAGGCCACAGCAGTGAGAGGCCCGCGTACCGCAAAAAAAAAAAAAAAAAAATTCACCTGATTCTTTTTTTCTTTCCTATGTAGAATATATGTGAAAAAAACCACTAAACTTTCCCTTCACTGTAAGGCTCTAATCCCAACGTAATGGTAAGATTAAGCTTGGGGTCATCAACTAAAGCAACAGAGCATGGAGACAGAAGGGAATGGTAGAAGAGATGTGTGTTCCAGCTCTCCCATGAGTGAGCTGTGGGATCCTGGGCAAGTCATCAAACTATGGCCAGACCTGTTCTACAACAATAGAATAAGGGACTTCAGGGAAGCTCTTGTCTTGTAATATTCATTTCTTGAAACAAGTCACCCCATGAATAAGACAGTTAAGCATTAATGAGACTCACAGCTGGGGTGGGAAGTGCACTTTGGAGGTGAGGAATGTTAGTAAGATACATTTCAAAGGGGAAACACACTGGAGGCTGGGCTCCTTCTGTTAGTAGGAGGAAACGGTTTTATAGCGCCAGCAGTTGTGCCTCATTTTGCCCTATGGCTGGAGACAAGGTAGTCATTGAGGAGCAATTTCTTGCCCTGCTGAAGCCTCCAACACGTGACCCAAATTCCACCCCAAGTGGGATTTAATCTCAAAGCAATGCTCACAGACTGTGCCCAAGACTGGAGAAGAGGGAGGATATATGCCGAATAGAACTGGGGCACTGCCAAGTGGAACGAGCCACAGATAGATACTGTTGGGCTAAGCTGAGCTATAAGATCTCCCACCCCCTCTAATTTCTCCCTTCTCCATCTGCACCCACTACCCCTGCCCAGGCTTAGCGAGCAAAGGTTGATGTGGATGGGGAACTGATTGGCCAAAAGAGGTGAACCTCCCCTGAGGTTGCCATTCTCTTAATACAAGCCCTTTCTGATCCCAGACAGACTATCAGATCTCTGGGTAGCAAAGAAATGTTACAACAAATCAGAACTTACTTGACAAAGTGAATTTACAGAACCATGCCCGACAGAATCATTGGGGCACAAAAGGATGGCTTGGGGTGGCTTTAGGCTCTACTATCACTTTCAGTGCCTCCCAAAACTACCCCCAGTAAATATAGAATTGAGTTTTTTTTAAAAAAAGAGTGTGCTATATAAATGCAGCTTCAAACAATGTGTGTGGAGTTTGCTGGGAAAGGACTGTAACTCGGTAATTATACATTTAGAAAAAGTACTATTCATATTTGGGAGCAACAGACATACACTCCCCAACACCCAGTGCAACCATGTAACTTTCCTAAAAATGACTACTCAGAGAAGTGCTTGAGCCAACTGAGCAAGGAATAAAAATGAAGGAGGCAAGAATAAGGAAGATGCCTTATAGAGAAAAGGTGTCAAGAAATAAAGTCATAAAAATTCAGAACTAAGTCCAAATAATCATTGTTAGTGTAGCACGTGGAAATGTAAACAAATGATTCTAAAAGCAAAGATAAATAACAAAATTCTCGATAAAAGTATGGATTTAAATTTGCAGGGTTTTCCCACATTAATTTAGGTTTCTCAGAAGACAGAAGTAAAAGCATGTTGCATTTCTATCTTCCCAGGTACAAGTCCAGTTTTAAACTGGATATTGATGGAGAAACAAAGGTACAATTATGTTTTCTAAAAATAGGTTTATAACTTTCATATTATTAAAACGAATAAAAACAAATCAACTAATAACATAATGTTAAAAAAATTTAAAGAAAAAATATCAAGAAGTGTTTAATACAGAAAACGAAATAAAATGATAGCAAATAAAACCAAACATACCTGAAATGATAATAAATACAAACACATTACTCTCACATCAAATACTGACAAATACTTTTAGATAAGTTTAAAAACTAAAGGCACTATATGCTGTATACAAGGACAAAAACTAAATTAAAATGATAGTTTGAAAATAAAGAGATGGACAAAGATATCAGATGCAAATGTTAAAACTCAAAACATTAAAAGTTGTAATATTAATATCAAAGTTGAATTCAAAGCAAAAATATTAACTATGACCAAGACTTATTTTATACTGATAGAAGGTAGACTCTATAAGATACTATTAAGACCATGCTGAACAGGGGTGGGATCTGCATTGGGGGCAGGTCCTATCTTTCCCATTGGACACTTATTTCTATGCACAGATGGTGGAGGGAGGCACGTGGTCATACTCAAAGCATTAAAGGCACTGGGATGATTCTTTGGTTTTCCTGCTCTCACTCCAGGGCTCTGGGTCCCCCCCCCACCACCACCACCACCACCAAACTATCCACAACAGACAAGGCTGTATTCCTAGATTAAACTCAGGTTGAAGAGAGCAGAGTCAGGCTTTAGATCTGAGTCCAACCTAAGTTAGCTCATTAGGATTCTTTACTGGGACTTAGAGAGGAACCTCCAAAGTACCTAGGAGTGTCCTTTGCCCAGCTTGGTCCTCAGGGATATACTTCCCTTTGGAGTGGGTGTTGGTAGCAAGGATAAGATCTGAGTGTCCCTGGTCAAACACTATCCATTTTAAAATATATATATATTTATTTAAAAACTATATATATATATTTTTTTCTATTGTGTAGATAAAACATATTTAAAGCATTTCTATGAAATTTTAAAAGAAATTTATCCTACAAGATAAAAAAATCTTTAATGGTATTCTAAAATATAAAAATTATTCAGACTACATTTTCTGGCCACGATTTAATAAAACCAGTGAAGTGGAAGAGTACTATACAAGATATTTAATTGCATTTTATCACTACAGAAATTTTAAAGGTGCCACATATGACAACTTAGATTAAATGGAGATATTGTTTGAAAGACACAAACTACTAAAATGTGCTCAAGAAAAAATAGATAACCTGAATAGTTTAAAAGGTAATATATCTAGTAGAGAAATTGAACTTGTAGTTTAAAACTTTCCAACAACAACAAAAAAGTCCAAGCCCAAGTGACTTCACAGGAGAATTCTATTTAATTCTTTAAGATACAAATCTAAACAAACTCTTCCATAAAACAGAAGAATAGGGACTGCTTCCAAACTCATTTTAGGAGATTAGCATTACCCTGATACCAAAACCAGTAAAGACATTACCTGACAAGAAAATTACCAATATCCCTCATAAATATAGATACAAAAATCCTTAACAAAACATTAATAAATTGAATCCAGCAGTGTATATATATTTTAAATTCATGACCACTTGGTGTTTGTTCCAGGAATTCAAGGATGGTTCAACATTCTAAAAATAATGTAATTCGCCATGTCAACAAACTAAGGAAAATAAAACATATGATAATCTCAATAGAGGTAAAAAAAATTTTAAACAAAATTTAACATCCATTTATGATAAAAACTTTCAGTGAACTAGGAAAAAAGGGAACTTCCTTAACCTGACAAGGGGCATTTATGCCCCCCCAAAACAAACAAACAAACAAACAAAAAAACTATGGCTGATATCAATCCTACTGGTGAGACTGAATGTTTTCTTCCAATGATTAGGAATCTAGGATGTCAGTTCACATTTCTTCCACTCAAAATTATATTGGAGTCAATGTAATAAAGCAAGAAATGGAAATAAAAGGCCTATAGATTGAAAAGGAAGAAATAAAACTCTCACTATTTGTAGATGAGATGCTTGCCTACCTAGAAAATCCCAAGGAATCTACAAAAAAGCTAACAGAATAAGTGAGTTTAACAGTTATTGTATAAAAGGTCAATATACAAAATTCAACTATATTTCTATATACTAGCAATGAATGATTGAAAAGTAGAAATTTAAGCAACTGAACCATTTATATTAGCACCAAAACCCATGAAATACTTTTATTATAAAGTAACAAAATATGTGCAGGATCTGTATGCTGAAAATTACAAAACTTGACGAAAGAAAATGAAAACCTAAAGATAAGAAGAGATGTGAAATGGTACTGCCATTTTGGAAACTATTTCTTATACAATTAAACATACACTTTACCATAAGTATCAGCAATCCTATTTCTTGGCACTAACCCAAGATAAATGAAAGCTGTGTCCACACAAAAAACTTGTACATAAATGTTCATAGCCACATTACTCATAACAGGCCAAAACTGGAAATAATCCAAATGCCCATCAATGGGTGAATGGATAAGAAAATATGGTACATTCACAGCGATGTCAGAAACATGACAGAGTGAAAAACTACCTTTGTCTCTGCCCTTCAATCTACAACCAATAAAACCCACAACTCAACAAAGGTGCCATCGTCCAACACAACAGTTTGCCAGAGGACTCCACACATCTGTACATCTAAAGGCGGGTGAATTGGAACACTTAGAAGAGATGGAACGAGGGAACAGTGGAATCAGTGCCTGCAATCCTGGCCCTCTGACCACAGCAGCTGTGCCCACAGCTTCAGAGAACACAGTAGCAGCAGGGGAAGCAGCACACATGACTACAGGCTCCAGACCACACCAGCACCCATGGCTACATGTAACTGACCAACAGTGGGGCCTGGGATCCTGTCCCTCCAGCCGCCGAGGTGACCACAACCTCACTGCCACTCCCCCACCTGCAGTGGCACAGCCCATGAACTTAATGAGATATAAGAAAACTCAGAAAGGTAGTTTAATGAGCTCAGGAATAAAAATGAATGAACAGAAAGAATATTTTACCAAAGAGACTGAAACTCTAAAAAGAAACAATTGGGAGATTGGGATTGACATATACACACTACTATATATAAAATAGATAACTAGTAAGAACCTACTGTGTAGTACAGGGAACTCTACTCAATAGAGTGGATATATATGTATAGGTATAACTGATTCACTTTGCTGTACAGCAGAAATTAACACAACATTGTAAATCAACTATATGTCAATAAAAAATAATTTAAATAAAAAGGAACCAAAAAGAAACTCTGGAGCTGAAGAACTCAATAAATGAGATGAACACATTAGAAGCACTGGAAACAGAGCAGACAATATGGAAGAGAGAATTAGCAAGCTGGAATATAGCAATCTACAAATGATACAAGTAGACGAGGAAAGAGAAAAAAGATTTTTAAAAGGAAGAAATCCTGAGAGAGTTATCTTACTCTTTCAGGAAGGACAACATTAGGATAGTGCATATCCCAGGAGGAGAAGAGAGGGAAAAGGGAGCAGAGAGTTTATTTAAAGAAACAATAGCTGAGAACATCCCAAACTTGGAGAAGGAACTGGAGTTACAAGTCCATTAAGCTAAGAGAACACCTAATTACCTCAATGCAAAAAGACCTTCTCCAAGACACATAATATTAAAATTGTTAAAAGTGAATGACAAAGAATTTTAAAATCAGCCAGGGCAAAAAGGATGGTAACCTACCAGGGAACCCCCACTATTAGGCTATCAGCAGATTTCTCAGCAGAAACCCTACAGGCGAAGAGGGAGTGGAATGACATTCTCAAAATACTGAAAGAAAAAAACTGTCACCCAAGAATACTCTATATAACACAGGTATCATTCAGATATGAAGGAGAAATAAATGGTTTCCCAGACAAAGAGAAGCTGGAGTTCATCAACACTAGACCTGCCTTACAAGAGATGTTGAAACGAACCCTTCTATCAGAAACAAAATGACAAAAATACACAAAACTTTGAGCAAGGTGATAAATAGAACCAGAAAATTGCCACTCTTTACCAAGATAGGTTTTTAAATACTTTATTATAGTATAAAGGTTAAAGGGAGAGAAAAAAAGAAAGCAGAAAAATAACTATAGCTATCTACAGTTTGGTAACAAACTCACTCAACAAAAACAGGTAATTTGAGACTACAAAAACAAAAGGGGACAAGGAAAAGGATGGAACTTATGTTTTTAAAAAATGTTTTAGTTCACTATAAATTATAATGTGTGAAAAGCATGCTGAAATCAGAAGGCTAGAAAAATGATTAAATAGATTCTGGAAAGACCCAGTGTATAAAGATTCATAACATAATAGAGATGGATTTTAAAATCTTTGAACAAGATATAAATGTTTTCAATAATGGGTTCATTCATTCAACCAAACTCACTGAGTGCCTACTATGTGCCATGGCACTGTTTGAGGCACTGGAGGTACGGCAGTTAAAAAAATGGACAAAATTTTCTTCCATCATGATGTTTAAATTCTGTCTCGTGCAGACCATAAATGTAATAAATAAGTAAATAAGGTAGTAAGTTATAAGGTGATAAATGCAATAAGGATCATTAAATCAGGGTAAGGACAATGGAGGGGGATGCAACTTTGATGCTGGGGAAACTAAGTAGTCACCTGGGAGAAAAGTAGACTCCTACATTTTATACCTTAATACAAAATAAATCCTGGGCAGATGTTTTATTTAAATATAGAAAATAAATTCAAAGCATAGATGAATTTTGGTGAATATATTAAAATCTTAGGTAGAGAAAGACTTTCTGACACTAAAGGCATCAATCATAAAGAAAAGGACAGATGTATTCAACTGTATGAGGATTATAAACTTCTATATAGTGAAAAGCTAGACAACCTGGGAAAAAATACTTGCCTTATCTATGATATAAAAAGGATATATTTAACTTTTCTATCCAATGGCAGTGATAAACACCCCGATTTTAAACGGGCAAAGGTAGTTTGCAAACAATGAAATACAAGTTCTATGAAAAAAGTATAAACAAAAACAATGTCAAATGTGCATTAGAACAAACATATTTACGAACATTGAAAAGATGAGCAATGGCTAGCGTGAAAGGGGAAGAAATGTACACTGCATCTTGGTGTGCAAAGTATCAAAATCAATAGCCTCACAAACGTTCCTTTTGACACAGAATTTCCACCTCCGAGAATTTTTATTGTAAAGAAATAAAATATACAGAGGTTTGGTCTCAAAGTTATTCATCATTTTTTATAAGAAGTCACAGCTTAAATGTCCAGAAATATCTGACAATTTAAATGAATGACAATTTAAACATCTATACCATGAAATATTATACAGCTGTCAAAAGGAATGTTGCAAATTTAAAAATCAATAAAATCAAATACAGGCAGAACTTCAGGCAACAATAAAAAATCTGAAATTAAAAAATATAATGTTGTAAATGCAAATATAAATGCATGGAAATATAGTCATGATATGTCACTAATAAGGTTATTTTTAAAACAATGTATTATACCATATCCATAAACAAAAAGCCTAAAGAACCTTGAAGGGCGTCTATTAAACATTAGGAATGCCTATTAATGGGAAGATTTATTGCTTATTTGTATTTTCTGATTTTCCTAATAGTGAAATTTTATTGCTTTACTTTTGGTTTTTAGTATAAAAATTATTTATGGTGCTTTAGAGTTTTAAAATCACACTGAATAATATGTGTGTACATATTACTCCCCATTTAGTTTTAGGTTTTTATTATACTACACCTAGCACCCAGTAGATAGATATTGTAGATAGCATTATTACCAGTTTACAGATAAAAGACCTAAAATTTAAAGTAGTTTAGTGTTTTGCCAAGTGTCCAGCGCATATTAGATACCAAAGCCAAGCACTGATTCCAGGTCTTACTCCAAATCTAATACCATCCCCCAGTCTGAAACACCAGTGTCTCTCACACAGGGACTATTGCAAATACCACCCAAATCTATACCATAAGCATTTGTCATTTAAAAAACTAAACTAACACTTTTTGTTTGTAAGAAGAAGGAAATGCTTGCCTTCCTCAGTCTATTCAAATTTTGCCCCCACCCTGGGCAGGCTCATTGCAGAAAATATATAGTTAATATGCAGACATATCATTTAATTAAGTAGCAGAGTGAACTCTTCACTGATGGCCCATGATGAAAAAACAGAAAATGGAAATTCATGGGTAATTTGAAGAACTACTTGTATTCATTAGTCGCCCCTTTATTTTTCATGTTGTTTTTGTCTAGACACCAACAGATTACAACAGTAACCAATTCATTGCCTCTTTAGCAATACTCACTCCCCAACATTAATTCAAGTTGGTAAATGGTTACTGGCCATTTACTGGTAAATGGTTACTGGCCAGTAACTGGCCAAGAGAGTAGCAGAAGAAAAATTGCATGAATAATTCTGCAGTCCAGACATATAGGCTTTTTTTTTGAAGTACAATTGATTTACAATATTATATTAGTTTCGGGTGTACAACATAGTGATTCAATAATTTTATAGATTATATTCTATTTAAAGTTATTACAGAATAATGGCTATATTTCCCTGTGCTGTACAATATATCCTTGATGCTTATTTTATACATAGTAGTTTGGGGGAGGGGGAGTCAGACGTGTGTGATTTTAAGAAGGTATCGTGTCCCTGTCATTGAGTACTGGTAAAAATGCCTTCAGATCAGTGCAACAGGAAGTACTCTTGTGAGATTACTCAGAAACAAGTCAAAATTAATAAAATCCCAACGGACATTAAGAGGTCTTTAATCAGCAAAACATGTTTGCTTTTGCTCTCAGTCCCATTTGCTCATAGACAAAATCAACAAAACTAGGAATCAGAACATATCCAAGAAAAATGAGAAAGGAACACAAGTGAAGAGAAGTAGCATTCTGCAATCCTCTGTTTAGAAAGAAACTTTGTAATAAAATTAGTCTCTACTAAGGATATTTTCACATTTTCAAACTAGAACACTTGTGAATATGTGGAAATATTTTTTCAAGTATGGTACTTACATACAAATACAAATGGAATCATTTTATACCCTCCCTCCCAAACATTTTGCTATCTTTTCCATAGCTCCTTTTTTTTTCACCTCAACATGAGCCCCATCTTCTAAAAGATAAATCCATCAACAGCTCCCTCCCTCCGAACTTCAAACTGACTTACTAATGTGAATTGAGAAGGTCAATGTCTTCACCATCATCGATCTTGGACAGCTGTTCCGTCATACTTTAACCGCCAACAAATGCAAAAATATATCATTAGAGATTTGCTACATGGAACAGTGATATGAAAAACTTATTTGAAGAAAAAGAATTCCTTAAATCTAAAGGAACCATGACTTAGCTCACTGGATGACCCAATCTTACAGAAAGAAATTTAGAATCACTGTCTAGAAAACTCTGTATTCCATGGATACTTCTAAGACTGAATTTTGCAAGTCTTTCCCTCTCTGTTTCTCCCTATGTCTCTGTCTCTGCTTCTGTCTCACTCTTTCTATAAAGATAGAGATTAATAATATATAGATAGCACTGATGCAAGTAAATTATATCAGCAGCCTTGGAAGGCACCATAACTAAAAGGCAAGATATATCAAAGTAGTCAAAGACCTTTAATGTCAATTTATTTGGGTCACTGTGAAGGATTAAAAATGTACATAGCACGAAATGACTTCTTTTTTTGGCTGAAATTGGATACACTTGCTCTAGAACTTATAAACTGGTTGAACTCTAAAAAAATTATGTCAATTAGTTATTTGGAACCTGGGTCCCTGCACCACCTACTTTTCACATATCATGGATATCGTCTTCTCCTTGAATAGGTTTCAAATCACTGCCTGAGACAAGGACTCCATAACTAATTGGGTTTCACAAATCTCAATATCCTCCCTCTTCCCCTCTCTCTATATTTATATCTCACCTTTTATCTCTGCCTCTCAATTCACATGAGTCAGGGCTAAAGGATTAAAATGTACATAGTAAGACTCCATGTGTCTTATAGATTTATTTTTAAATGCAATTTAGCTATAATTACTCTGCAATTTATAATTTAGTTGCCCTAAAAATAACATTCTAATCAGTTATTTAAAACCTGGTATTTAATTTTTCTGTAGAAATGAACTTTATATGTAGGTAATAAAAATCTTAGTCCTGTGGGAAAACTTAATAAATCAAATTTATGTACATTTCTTTACTCCCAAACCTAACCCCCAAGTGTAAACACCATTTTGTGATTAAATTTACTTCAAATTCAGCTTGAGTTTGTAGGTACTCATCTCACTTGTCCTATAATTTTCTGCCTTCTCAAGTCCCTACACCACCTAGTAACTCTTCACAAATCATAGATGTCTTTCCTGCCCTTCAGACAGGGTCAAGACAAGGCAGGGGCTCCCTCCAATGTGATGGTGGGTTTGGGTTTGGGGCACCAGCCTCACATGGTGGCAGAGTTCTGGAAGGTGAGGGACACATCCAGGATCTATCAGATCCATTTTTTTCTGCTGAGGGTTCCCCTCTGCTCTCTATCCACTGAGACCTTCTCCTAACTCCTATTATGATTCTGTCCTCTCTCGGCCCATGCATGGGCAATTTGATACTTTTCTAAAGGAAAGTATCAGATAGTGGCTGCTCCTAACTAAGGGTAACAAACAGACTAGGGGTAAGAACACTCCCTTTTATGACCTGTTCGTTTTTTTCCCCCCAAATAGATCCAAAAAAGAAAGAAAGTGACATATTGAGGCTGGCAAAACAAACAAAACCCTTAGATAAAGCGTCGAAGAAACTCTGTATTGCCATAGATGGTCCCCAGAATAAATTTCACAAATCTCAATATCCCCCCTTACACTATCTATATATAATTATATCTCACCTTTCATCGGAGGGTTCAACACAAATTACTTTTTCCACCTCGCTCTGGTCATAGCTAAAGGATTATAAATGCACATGGTAAGACTTCACATCTCCCTAGACTTATTTTTAAGTGCACATTAGCTACAAGTGCTCTACAATTTATAACCTAGTTGTCCTAAAAATAACATTCTAATCAGTTATTTAAAACCTGCTATTTCATTTTCCCCTGTAAGTGAGGCTTTATACATTTGTAATGAAAATCTTAAGTCCTGGGGGGGGAAGTCATGAATCAAGTTTATAGACATTTCTTGACTCCTGAAACATACTTACATAGGCTACAGTAAAAAGATTTAGAAACAACGTCAAAGACACTCTGTTATGTCATGAATACTCCTAAAAATGAACCTCCCAAATATAATCGACCTCTCTCCCCGTTCCTCTCTCTGTTTCTCTCATTCTCGCATGCTCTCTCTCTCTGCATTTATATACATATATATATTTTTTGTTGACATCTATCTTTATTTCTATCTCACGTATTAGTGGTGGGTCCATCAGGTCTTCCTGTTGTCAATTCACTCAAAGCAGTGCTCAAGGATTAAAAAGGCACAGAGTCAGACACCCTATAATTTTCTCCGTTAAACTTTCTGGTTCAAATTAGTTTAAATTAATGCTTTCACTTATAAACTAGATGACCCTTTAAAAACTGACATGTAAATCGATTGCTTGAAACCTGGTAGGTCATTTTCCCCAGAAATGAGGCTTTATGTATTTGTAATGAATATCTTACACTTGTCAAAAAGGTAATGACTCAAGATTGAAGTACAGTTCTTTACAACTGAACCTGATCCAATGTGTAACAACCTTTTGGGGTGGCATTTATTTCAAATTCAACTTCAGGTTGTAGGTACCCAACCTTCTTGACCAATCTAACTTCCTGACCACGTCTGTGCTCCACAGGAGGCGTGCTCGTCTTTCCTGCCCCCGACATAGGGTCAAGTAACCACAGGCCTGAGTCAGGGGCTCCATCTGATGTGAACATGGGTCTGGATTTGGGGTATCGGCCTCACATGGTAGCTGATACAATTTATTATTATTCTCCTTGCTCCAGACGGCTTTCACCTTTCCCACACCCACTCCAGGAGAGTCTCATACACAGGCAATCTGACAGTTTCCCGAGAGTTTGGCTGCTAATAACTGAGAGTCAAGACTGGGAGTAAGAAGATTCCCTCTATGTCTTGTGCCTCTTTTTCTACCTCAATTCAAAAGACAAAGACTATTCCACATAGAATCTTACCACGAGCGGATGTGAGGAACAGTATCGAGGGAACTCTATATTCCCATGGGTGCTCCTAAGGGTGAACATCCCAAATCTCAATGTCTCTGAATATGTTATGTTCTGTATGTTTGTATGTGTGTACACATTATACATGTATTTATTTATCATATCTTAGTTTGCCATGAAGAATCCTCCTGCCAATTCACTCAGGGTAGTGCTATGGTATGTTTTTGTTTTTGTGCTATGGTATTAAAAACAGACATAGTAAGATACCACATGACTTCTAGACTTTTACATTTTTAGTTCAAATTAGCTATAATTACTCTTTTTTTTGGCTGCATTGTGCATCCTGTGGGATCTTAATTCCCCAAACAGGGATTGAACCTGGGCCCTCAGCAGTGAGAGTGTGCTGTCCTAACCACTGGACTGCCAGAGAATTCCCTGCTACAATTACACTTAAGCTTATAAACTGGTTGGCTCTTAGGAAATTCACATGTAAATCAGTTATCTGGAACTTGATATCTCATTTTTCCTAGAAATGATTCTATATACATTGTAATGAATATTTTTGACCCACCAAACAGTTAATGACTCAAGGTTGGTTCAAGACGGTGGAGTAGAAGGACGTGCTCTCACTCCCTCTTGCACGAACACCAGAATCACAACTAACTGCAGAACAGTCATCCACAGGAAGACACTGGAACTCACCAAAAAAGATGCCCCACATCCAAAGACAAAGGAGAAGCCACAGTGAGACAGTAGGAGGGGTGCAATCACAATAAAATCAAATCCCATAACTGCTGGGTGGGCGACTCACAAACTGGAGAACACTTACACCACAGAAGTCCACCCGCTGGAGTGAAGGTTCTGAGCCCCACGTCAGGCTTCCCAGTCTGGGGGTCCGGCAACGGGAGGAGGAATTCCTAGAGAATCAGACTTTGAAGGCGAGGGGGATTTGATTGCGGGACGTCGACAGGACTGGGGGAAACAGAGACTCCACTCTTGGAGGGCACACACAAGGTAGTGGGCATATCGGGACCCAGGGGAAGGAGCAGTGATCCCATAGGAGACTGAACCAGACCTACCTGCTAGTGTTGGAGGGTCTCCTGCAGAGGTGGGGGGTGGCTGTGGCTCACGGAGGGGAGAAGGACACTGGCAGCAGAAGTGCTGGGAAGCTCTCCTTGGCGTGAGCCCTCCCAGAGTCTGCCATTAGCCCCATCAAAGAGCCCTGGTAGGCTCCAGTGTTGGGTTGCCTGAGGCCAAACAACCAACAGGGAGGGAACCAAGCCCCACCCATCAGCAGACAAGTGGATTTAAGTTTTACTGAGCTCTGCCCGCCAAAGCAAAAGCCAGCTCTACCCACCACCAGTCCCTCCCATCAGGAAACTTGCACAAGCCTCTTAGATAGCCTCATCCACTAGAGGGCAGACAGCAGAAGCAAGAAGAACTACAATCCTGCAGCCTGTGGAACAAAAACCACATTCACAGAAAGACAGACAAAATGAAGAGGCAGAGGCCCATGTACCAGATGAAGGAACAAGATAAAATCCCAGAAAAACAACTAAATGAAGTGGAGATGGGCAACCTTCCAGAAAAAGAATTCAAAATAGTGATAGTGAAGATGATCCAGGACCTCGGAAAAAGAATGGAGGCAAAGATCGAGAAGATGCAAGAAATGTTTAACAAAGATCTAGAAGAATTAAAGAACAAACAAACAGAGATGAACAACACAATAACTGAAATGAAAAATACACTAGAAGGAATCAATAGCAGAGTAACTGAGGCAGAAGAACGGATAAGTGACCTGGAAGACAGAATGGTGGAATTCACTGCTGAACAGAATAAAGAAAAAAGAATAAAAAAAAAATGAAGACAGCCGAAGAGACCTCTGGGACAACAGTAAACGCAACAACACTTGCATTATATGGGGTCCCAGAAGGAGAAGAGAGAAAGGACCAGAGAAAATATTTGAAGAGATTATAGTTGAAAACTTCCCTAACATGGGAAAGGAAATAGCCACCCAAGTCCAGGAAGCACAGAGAGTCCCATACAGGATAAACCCAAGGAGAAACATGCCGAGACACGTAGTAATCAAATTGGCAAAAATTAAAGACAAAGCAAATTTATTGAAAGCAGCAAGGGAAAAATGACAAATAACATACAAGGGAACTCCCATAAGGTTAACAGCTGTTTTCTCAGCAGAAACTCTACAAGCCAGAAGGGAGTGGCATGATATACTTAAAGTGATGAAAGGGAAGAACCTACAACCAAGATTGCTCTACCCAGCAAGGATCTCATTCAGATTCGACGGAGAAATCAAAAGCTTTACAGACAAGCAAAAGCTAAGAGAATTCAGCACCAGCAAACCAGCTCTACAACAAATGCTAAAGGAACTTCTCTAAGTGGGAAACACAAGAGAAGAAAAGGATCTACAAAAACAAATCCAAAACAATTAAGAAAATGGTCATAGAAACATACATATCGATAATTACCTTAAATGTGAATGGATTAAATGCTCCAACCAAAAGACACAGTCTCGCTGAATGGATACAAAAACAAGACCCATCTATATGCTGTCTACAAGAGACCCACTTCAGACCTAGGGACACATTCAGACTGAAAGTGAGGGGATGGAAAAAGATATTCCATGCAAATGGGAATCAAAAGAAAGCTGGAGTAGCAATACTCAGATAAAATAGACTTTAAAATAAAGAATGTTACAAGAGACAAGGAAGGACACTACATAATGTTGATCCCTCACACAGGGTCAACAACTGCAGGCCTAAGGCAGTGATGGCTCCAGCCACTTCCACTGCCATCACAGGTTTGGGTCTGAGGACCCTTACGTAGTGGCAGAGCTCTGGAGGGTGTGGGACAGATCTAGGGTCTGTTAGCTCCATTCTCTTCTGTTGAGGGCTCATCTCTTGCCAGGCCACTGCTAGCCTTCCCCTTGTTTCCAAATATGAATCCCTCATTTGTCCCACATTGTAGGCTGAATACTATCCCACTAAAATTCATATGGTGAAGTCTTATCCCCTTTAACTCAGAATGTGACCTTATGGAAAGTAGCATTGTTGCAGAAGTAATTAGTCAAGATGTGGTCCTACTGGTTAGGGTGGGTTCCTAATCCAATAGGACTGATGTCCTTATACAAAAGGAAAGAATGCCATGTGAAGATGAAAGCAGAGATTGGAGCGATTGACAGCAGCCACCAGAAGCTAGGAGGGAGGCATGGAAGAGATTCTTCCTCACAGCTCTCAGAAGAAACCAACCCTGCCAACATCCTGATACCAACTTCTAGCCTTGAGGATTGAGACAAATTTTTGTTGTTTAAACCACTCGATTTGTGATATTTTGTTACAGCAGCCCTAGCAAACTAATACAACCCATTCTAGCAGTCTCACACAGGCAATCTGACAGGTTTCTAAGAGTTTTGGCTACTAGTCACTCAGATGGGAGTAAGTCTCCCTCTTCTGATCTGTTTCTCTTTTATCCAACTAGATCAAAAAAAAAAATGTTACATACAGAACATGCCACCATTTTAGAAAAAGCATACAAGAAACTTAGTATTAAATATCTCTGTGTGTGCATCTTTACATATCTATCTATCTGTATATAATCTCACCTTTTAGTGACGGCTTCCTCACTGGTTACAGATATCAATTCATTGGGCTCACAGCTTAAGGATTAAAATGTACAGAAACATCATGTGATTTCATAGACTTACTTTTTTCATTCAAATTAGCTAAGTTGTAGAGAGAGAAACAAATTTTCAATTATGAATTGAAAATTACAAATTCATGCGTAATTTGGTTATTTGGAAATAAGTATTTCATTTTACCCTAGAAATGTGGCTTTACATGGTGGCAATGAAATTCCTAGGCCTGTAAAAGAATCCTCACTGGATCAAGATTTAAAAACATTTCTTTACTTCTGAACCTAATCCCAAGGTGTAACTGGTTTTTGTGTTTGCAATTATTTCAAATTCAACTGTAGTTTGCAGGTACCATCCCTCATACAGTATTATTAGTATTATTCACTAAAGTCACCATGCTGTACATTACATCCCCAGGGTGACTTATTTTATAACTGGAAGTTTGTACCTTTTGACTTCCCTCACCCATTTCACCCACCCCCTCCGCAGCCCTCACCCCCCATTTCTGGAAACCACCAATCTTTTCTCTTATTTATGACCTTTTTTTCTTTTAAGATTCCACATACAAGTGAGCTCATATGATATTTATCTTTCTCTACCTTATTTCACTTAGCGTAAATGTCCACAAGTTCTACCCATGCTGTTGCAAATAGCAAGATATCATTCATTTTTTTATGGCTGTATATATTCCATTGTATACATATATACCACAACTTCTTTATCCATTCATTGGTCAACAGACACGTTGTTGCCATGTCTTGGCTACTGTAGATAATGCAATGAACACGGGCGTGCAAATGTCTTTTCAAGTTAGTGTTTTCATTTTCTTCAAATACCCAGAAATGGAATTGCTGGATCATATGAAAATTCTTATTTTTTGAGAAATTTCCATAGTGTTTTTCATAGTGGCTGTAACAATTTACATTCCTACCAACAGTGCACAAGCTTTCCCTTTTCTCCACATCCTTGTCAACACTTGTTATTTTTTATCTTTTTGACAATGCCATTCTATACATACGTATTTTTAAAATTTATTTTATTTATATTTATTTTTTTGGCTGCGTTGGGTCTTTGTTGCTGCACACCGGTTTTCTCTAGTTGCGGCGAACAGGGTCTACTCTTCGTTGCAGTGCGTGGGCTTCTTATTGCAGTGGCTTCTCTTGTTGAGCACAGGCTCTAGGCGTGTGGGCTTCAGTACTTGTGGCACATGGGCTCAGTAGTTGTGGCTCGTGGGCTCTAGAGCGTAGGCTCAGTAGTTGTGCGCATGGCCTTAGTTGCTCCACAGAATGTGGGATCTTCCTGGACCAGGGCTTGAACCTGTGTCCCCTGCATTGGCAGGCAGATTCTTAACCACTGTGCCACCAGGGAAGCCCAACAATGCCATTCTAACAGGCATGAGGTGATATTCCTTCGTGGTTGTAAATTTTTTTAAATCGTTTATTTTTTAGAACAAGTTTAGGTTTATAGAAAAATTAAGCAGGAAATAGAGTTCCATATACCTCCTTCTCCCTAACAGTTTCTCCTATTATTAATATCTTGCACTCGTCTGGTACATCGGTTACAACTTATGAACCAACATCGATCCGTTATTGTTAACTAATGTCCATAGCTGAAACTGGTGTTCACCCTTTGTGTTGTACAGGTCTACTGATTTTGCCAAATGCATAATGCCATGTAGCCACCATTACAGCATCATACTGAATTGTTGCCCTGCCCTAAACATCTCCTGTGCTCTGCCTATCCATCCCTCTGCCCCCCCAATCCCGACTCCTAATATTTTTACTCTCTATAGTTTTACCTTTGCCACAGGTGTCATATAGCTGGAATCACATAGTATGTAGCCTTTTCAGACTGATTCCTTTTACTTAGCACTTATGCATTTAAGGTTCCTCTGTTTCTTTGTATGGCTTGATAGTTCATTTCTTTTAATTGTGGAATAATTTTCCGTTATATATAGCTATCAGAGTTTGTTTTTCTATTCATCTATGACATCTTGGTTGCTTCCAGTTCTGGGCAA